CATTTAGCTCCAAAAAAAAAAAAATCTTTCTACTGTATCTGCAGTTCCTTTGAAGTATGTCACCTGCGGTAGAGTGCTGAATGCTGCCTAAGCTTTGTTTTGTTGAAGTTTCAGTTAAACAGTGAACTACGGTTGAAAAAATAACTTGACTGGCAGTAAGCTACCACTACGTATCAGTGTTTTCCTCTATCTGGTCTGTCTTGTGTGTTCACAGGACCTTTCCCAAAGCATTCTCATGGGCCCAGTGTAACCTGCAGAGTTTTGAGCAGCTCTTAAACACACAAGTAGTAGGGTTTTTTTAAATATAAAATAACCTATGTAATTCTACTTCTACTGTGATAGTTTGCTACTATACCTATTATGACTAGTTTATTTTCCTTGGATTTAGCCAACCTAATGAGATACTGTCAGTTGTTTAATGAAGTTTAATTTTTCATTTGTTTTAATTAGTTAATTCAGCAATCAGTACAGTGCCTTAGTATAGGAAACTGTTCAAAGGATAGTAAATAGAACCAGATCATGCAGATGCCTACCTCTGGTCTCTGGTAACAAGTTTAAAATTGCATTACTATATTTTGCCTTCCTAGAATTCTTTCACCTGATGGTACTGTTTGCTTTCCTTTTGAATACCCTACAAAACCAAAAAGCAGTTGTATTACATTCTTTTAAAATCAGTAATATTTAAGAAAAGGTAAGTGGGAGGATAACGTACCAACTTTTGACTGAGGAATTTTTAGTTGTTTCATATACTCAATGTGTTATCTACATAACTTTTTTGAGAAACAATATCGTTAAACATTCTCCAAAAGAGGGAATAATAGTGCAAAAAAAGTTAAAGAAGAGCTGGCGGGTGTTCTTCTTGCTGTTGTAATCTGTGGAGTGCAGTATAGTTTTGTCTTGCAAGTTGTTTGAACTGCTGGCTACTAGTGTTTAGCCAGTGCTGAATGTGTTGAATACTATTACTGATAATTAAGGCAAGTTCTATTACTGCTTGCCAATTATGAAAATATAAAATCTGACATTTGAAGGAATAGCTATTAAGTTTACCAGCTTCAGGCTTATTTTATTACTGTCCCTCTCCTGCTCAACGGAGAGACAAACTCCATTACGGGGTTCCTGGTCTCTTTTTCTACTGACTGTAGAAAGAGAAAAGGGCAGCTGGCTTCCCAGTTACAAGCGTAACCTTTGTGAATTCTCTCCTTCGTGTTGGAAGAAGTCTTAATTGTGGAGACCAAAATGACCTGGCAACTTATAATCAACTACTTCAATCTTTAATATATGTTGAGTACTTATATACAAATACAAATGTGGAAGATGGCTCATTTTGGCCTCCTTTGTTTAGAAGCATCATTCAGGTGACTCCTTGTGTTTGTTGGTGTTGCTCTCAAATTTGTTGCCTTAGTGCTTTTAACCTGGATATGAGTCTCTCTGCTTTCATAGTTTTCAGAAATGGTGTGCTCTTTCAACAGTGTAGTGAAGTTGGCTGCATATAGATTGGATTTAGATGGATGCATATGGTGGAAAAAAAAAGTTTGTCGCTGCTGATAACTATTAATGAATGGTCTGTAACCAGACTGGGGCTGTATTTTTATGGGGAAAACATGATTTGAAGGTTCTCCATACAAATCTATGTTTTTCCCAGTTTGTACTCTGTGATATGTATGTTTTAATCAGTAAAGCATAGTTTCATGTTTTAAAAAAGTGCTGTTTTCTTTTTCTAAAGGACTTATATCAGGTAGTTGAACTTCAAAGTTTTTTTTGTTTCTGTTCACCTTAAAATGCTGGGCTGGAAACTGGCTATTCAAGAGCTGGTTCAGGAATAGACTTCATGCATCTGTCTCAAGGGCAATGGCATATACATCAGCTGGAGGGGTAGATAATAGTGCAGGTATGACCCGATAGGTTTCAGTATCCAATTTTAATGTACTGCCTGTCAGAGTCCCAGCTGACAGAGATGGAGTGGTGCCAAAACCAAAATGTTACAACTGGTTTTGTGTCGCTTCTCGTGCAGAAGACTGTATTTATTAAAAGTAATTGTCCCGTGAATAACTACTACACTCGTATTTAGATGCTTTCACCCAATGGCTTCTTAGACGCTTGCAAAGCCTCAGGTATTTTTCTTAAACATACATTCCCTGGTGGTGGCTGAATTCAATCACTGCTCTATTCTTCAAGAGGATTTGTTTAGCTCCTGATGCTCCCCCATCATAATTTATTAATGAAGCATGAAGTAGGCTTAAGAATATGTAAGAATGCAAAAGCTCATGTCGGTGAGCAAAGCAGAAGCCTATGGATGCTAATTGGGGAGGTCAGATTCTAACTTTTGGCAGAAATTTTGGCAGTAATTTCAGGGTTTGTTTCTTGCATGACATGGTTGCGTCCGGAGCCCTGGCCATGCTACTCCGAATGTAAAAGAGAGCCTTGTTTTTAGTGGTTGTGTGACATATCACTTAAGTACTAATTTGAACTAGCATTTTAAAAGCAAATGATAGGCTTGTGAAGAAATGAAGACCTGGTTATATCCAGAAATAAACTCAGCTGTTTAGCAACTATGCCCACGATGGCAGTTGAACTCAGAAGTCAGATCTGGCTAAAAAAGAAAAAAAAACAAAAAACCAACATAAAACTGTGTTGTATACTAGATCTAATTTACAGTATCCTAAAGTAAAGAAAAAATGTCCAACAGCCAATTGTGAGTGAATACAGATGTTGTTTTACAGGATTTATTGTACAATGCTGGCAACACATAGTGAATATGATCTCATTTTGTAGAGTTCATGGGATGTGGCAAAAGGTTTGAAGTAAATAGAAGTGAATGTGACACTTGAGGTTTTAGAACATAAACTTTCTATGAGTTGTTGAAAGAAGTTAATATGCTCCATTCATGGGGGGAAAAGTAAACTGCATGTTTTCCTGTATTAAATACAACATTTTAAATGGCATGAATTGCGTGAGTAGAATACACTAGAAACATTTGTTGAAATCTAAATGAGCTTCTTACATCCTGAACTGCATTTAGGGAGGAAAAAAATCTGAGTAAATCTAAACACAAAACCAGGTATCAACACTAAATTAAGAACCCTATAGTTACTTTTTTCCATCTCTTCAGAACATTAGTTCATTTAAAAAATATTTGACTTTGCATTCTGAGTCTTTGCTTTAGAATTACTTTTTATCTTCTATCATTTCATATTAAAGTTAACAGCAAATTGTCTTATTCCTTGACAAGTAAGATGTTAAGACCGACAGCATTCTCAAAGCGGTCACAGCAAGCCTTTTCCTTCTCTTCAAACCTTTCTAAAGTCCTTGGAGGCAGCAAAAAGCAGGTCATGTGCAGCCTGTCCTGACAGATCCTCTGTGGGACAAGAGTGTCCTTTTCTGCCTCGTGGTTGTACAGCTTTCTGGTGGGCCGATGACTCTTTTTGCTTACTGCTGCTTACGGCAAAAGGGTCTGCAGCCTTTCCCGGTTGTGAGACATTTTGGAGCTCCTTTTTCCTTCAGATGTGGGAAAAGAAAAATGTGGGACATGTTTCCTAGCTTACAGACTCTTGGATTTTGCTGCCAGTGTTTTCTTTGCTGCTTGGCAGGCTCATTTCGTTCATGCTGAGAGAGGCAAGTTACACCTTGGTGATATGAGATACTTTTTACAAATTTTGGAATCACTAAAACATGTCAGTTTAGTATGTGAATGAGTTTTGGAGGGGAGTAAGAAGCGGCCAGGAGAAGTGAGCCTTTCAAGCTGTGTGGGCTCCCTATTCTTATTAGGGTAAGGACTATAAAGTAGATTTAAAAAAAAAAAAAAAAAAAAAAAAAATAATTCAGTATATTTAAAATGGCACCGTTAGCCATTCAGAGTGTGCCAATCCTGGCAACTTTCCTGGTTAGTTCAATGAGCATTGCGTGCAATCAAATACTCCTTTTAATTGGGAGCTTATTTAACTGCATAACTTGAGGAGCCTAAGGTTTGAATGTCTTGGCCTTTGCATCTATTTCACTTGTGGACTGTAGATTCCTCTAAAATGATTTTCACACCATATTTTTATAGAAAGTGAGGTTGGTGTTCTGTAAGAGGCAGAGTTGTAATGTCATAGTATCGGAGGTCAGGCTCTCAAAAGCTTGTAATATGATGAATCAATTGTGACCAAATATATTTGTGGGTTATTTAAAAGCCATATGCCCAGCCACGTGAAGAGTGGGCACGTTCATTTGTCTGAAATGAGAAGAGGCTGTGTTTCTGCTCACATGCCTCGACATGTGCCCGTTACAGAAATTCACTGTGTGCATATATATGTGTGTGTGCATACACATGTATACACACATATACTTATGTATATACGCACTCCTAGTACAGTCTTAGCTTTGAATGTCTTGTACTTCTATTTTGATCGTGAGATAGACCCCCTTTTTGGTTCACAAGTTAGGGAAATCGGGAAAAGAGCTGCAGGGATTAGTCTGTGGACCCCCCCCAAAATTGATCTGTTCTTGAATCTTCTCCATACCCAGAAGAGGCTGTGTTTCTGCTCACATGCCTCGACATGTGCCCGTTACAGAAATTCACTGTGTGCATATATATGTGTGTGTGCATACACATGTATACACACATATACTTATGTATATACGCACTCCTAGTACAGTCTTAGCTTTGAATGTCTTGTACTTCTATTTTGATCGTGAGATAGACCCCCTTTTTGGTTCACAAGTTAGGGAAATCGGGAAAAGAGCTGCAGGGATTAGTCTGTGGACCCCCCCCCAAAATTGATCTGTTCTTGAATCTTCTCCATACCCAGGTCTGAGGGGGTCCTCTGTAAGCAAAGTGTCACAGGTTGGAAAAAGGCTGGAAGAATCTTGTCCTGACAGGCTGGCTACTTCCGCATGGAATAACAGGAATAAACATCATAAAATAAAGTCTATATAGTGAATCCTGATAGTTTACTAAATTTGTATACAAACTTCTTTGTTTATTTTGTTTTTCTTACAGGAAATACTGGATAGATCCCACAATGGAGGATGGGAAGCCCGTTTGGGCTCCACACCCAACTGATGGGTTTCAGATGGGGATGATTGTGGACATTGGCACTGACAACTTAACTATTGAACCTTTGAATCAGAAAGGCAAGGTAAGTGTCTCACAAGCAATGGAATGGAGGAAAACCTTACAAAAACTATTTTACCTGTAGGCCAAATCTTTACCAATATCTACCATTACACACCTGAAAGAGTGGGAAATAATTTTTCTCTGGCTAAGGATCTTTGTTTAGCTTTAGTGTGCATTGCAAATGAAATATCCCACAGATAAGTGCTTGCTATCTGTCAGTTATCTGCATGTGTGTACCTGCTCATGAAAGACAGAAGGATTGAATCTCCGTAGCCATTTGATTCAGTACTGTATACTTTATTTTTCTAAATTGGAGACTGGTTAAGAGTCTGCTGTTGAGATCAGCTTCTCTCTTTTCCCTTAAATGCATGGGGAGAGTGTCCTACAGGGGTGTCCTAGACGCTGGCTTAGATTAGACACCTCACTGTTAGACTGGTGAAGGCTAACATGAATCTAGGCTAACATGAATCTTGTGAAGGCTAATGAATCCTCTTACCTCAAGTAGCTTGAGAAGTAACACGATGTCAAACAAAGGTCCTATGGAATTGCTACATCAAATTAAACGCAAAATAAATGTAACTTTTAAAATGAAGTCCTAATTCATCCTAATTAGTGTGTTCCAACTGCTTCATTTATGACGACATCTTTCAGATGCAGTATGTTGTAATTAAATGTCAGTTTTTACAGGAAGTACCTTGTATCTATCAATTATCCTAATTCAGATGGTCAGCATCCTGGTTTTTACTAGCTGGAATAAGATCAGACACTGTTTTAAAAGTTGTGATTTTGGTCTTTTTGAATATGTGATATGTGCCCTTCCTAACAATTTTGTCCTTTCTGTATCTTCAAGTATGGAAAAGACAACATTTTTTTGTAACTTCTTTTTTCATGTCAACAATAATAGACTGCCTTGTCACAGGTCAAAAGGTTATGCAGCAGTCCTTCCTTTTGGGGGGAATGTTTATAGGCTTTCTTTTTTCTACATCTTGGAGAGGAAGTTGATTTTGCTTTCCTTAGAAATATAAAGCAAATGTAACGTCTGATTTTTGTGTGTGAAAGTCTGTAGGTTTAGTAGTAGTGGTATACATTCTTCAGTTTGGGGAAGAGAAAATTATTCAGACGAGAATATTAACTATTCCAAAACTATGACTAAGTAGTCTTTAACTGACTTAAAAGATTTTGACTCCCACCACTATTTCTGTTTATATCCCCAAATGGTTCTGATGTGATAAAGAGCAAAAGTCTGTATACTGAAACAGAAACAGGCAATGAAGAAATTCCTGAGTGACTATTCATTTCTAACATTTGCTCCTTTCAGGGAGCATATATAATTTTTTTTTTTTGTGAAACCAAAAAAATGATCCTAAAATACAAATATTTTGCTTCATGGTTCACAACAAACAGTCTCTTTTGTCTAGAAGGTTTGTTATTCTGCTGTTGGCTGTTTTCTTGAATTAAGCAGATCAATTAAGGGCCTAATGCTCATTCATCTAAGGGAACAAACACTTCACAGTTTAAATACCGTAGAGATTATTGTCCTATATTTCTATTTATCAAACTTATTTATATTAATAGAGGTGGAGTAAAACATTTTCTTGATTACCTTCTCAGTCTTTTCAAGGTGTCGTTGATTTCTTTTTATAGTGAAATGTTTCTCACTGCTTTTTGTCTTTTTAAGAAGACTCTGTTCTTGTGCGCTTAGAACATTAATTTGAAGTAGTCAGCATTAATACCCATTATTATCAATTTTGTTTACTTAAAATGATAGTTCAAAAGTGCTCTTCGGTAAGAAGGAGTGATCCAGCAGCTCCAGAGTTGCCCATGGTAATTACAGGGAGGAGAGGAGTAACCTGATCTTGTAAATGTATCCGGGCAGTGTAACTTATTATTATTTTTTAATCTGGGTCATTAACATGTCATACGTATTCTCTGTAGGCGCTGGTAGCTCACCAGAGATCACAGGCTGAAAAATAAATGTGTATGCATATGTTTGATTATTGCCTTTTATACCACTTAATGGTTAATTCAAATATGTTGTTAATAACTGCAGTAAATGCTGCAAGGCAGCAGTTTCACGATGTCTTAAAATCTTCCCTCCCTTCCCCACCCGTAACTAGCTCTGGCATTGCAGAGTGGCACCCTCTCGGCTCTGCTCGCAGAGCTGTGCATGACACGGCAAATGAGGTCAGGGAACAGATCCACCTTAAAAATGAAGGAGTGGAAAGTTTTCAGGAGGGCAGCAAGCAGTGGTAGGAGGACGAGGACCTGAGGCCCGCGTGGCCGTAGATTGCTTTGTATTACGAAACCAAGTTACCCAGTCCAGACTGGGTGAAGGTAGTTGGTTAACACACCGATTTACTTATAAACCAGCAATAGCAGTTTTGAGTACCGCAGCTCATACAGAGTTAACAGCAGCATTTACATTTCTGTGCGGAGGCTGGGTGTCTGAAGAGAGGCGGGGATCTGAGTCACCTAGCTTGCGTTGTATGAGGAAGAGTAATCCAAGCTGCAGGAGCGTGTTATCAGAACAGAGGATGTGTGTGTTACACGATGGGAGTTACTCCCCGAAAACTAGATCATCGGCTTGCAAGGCTGATAAATGCCACGACTGGAAAGAAAACAGAGAAACTGGAGAGGGGTTTGCTAATGAGCGCGGTCCCACCTAGGGCTGGAGCGCTGCCCCGAGGATGGGCTCCAAACCCGAGTGGGGGGCTGGGGCTGGGAGCCCTGGCCTGTGTCCCACCAGCAGTCGCATGCCAGTGTACGAGGAAGGAGGCGGGTAGAAAGGCAGCCAGTTGTTAAACTCAGCTAGCACTGCATTTGCTTCTGCTTGGAGTGTACTTCTCTGAACCGACTGGGAATCCTAATCTCAGATTCTGTTGCATATATCCTACTTTGTTGTGTTGCTTGGTGCTGTAACAGGGAGAAGGCAGATGACAGCGAAATTGCCAAATGGGGGATTTACTCTTTTCCTGGAGGTAGCAAATCTAAGTTAGGAAGAGGTGCCTCGGAGGGACTTGCACCCTGAGGTGCCATCCTGGGATCCTCGTGGCACTGAGGAGTAGGGGGCAGGCATTTCCTAGAGCGTCAGCAGTAGTGGGTTTCTGGCAGTTGTTGGGAGGGTGTGTGGTGCTGCAGGCACTTGCTGACACCCCTCCTGCCGTCAACTTAGAGGCACCTTACGGCTCTGCACCAGTTCTGAAGGGTCATGGAGGGCTTTATGGGGCACCTGCTCTGGTATCCTGTGAATAACCAGAAAGGTATTTTCCTGGGCTAAGTATAAATGAATAAATGTACATTGAAAGTAAGGGTCAGAATGTCCAAAGTTCAGTGTTTCAAGCTAAGGGGTTTTTTTAGCAGTGAGTGCAGCTTGCTTGCTCAAATGAGGCATGTTCTTGTCTGTCTTACACACTGTTTGTACTGCTTTAGGTTGGTTTGTGAAATACAGCTGAGAGTAGGGATGCCTCCTGTCTGTATCTGGAAGGCATAAAGGAAGACATGGTTACACATATTAGATTACATGCTAGAAAGAAGATCCTGCTTGAATGGAAAGATATCTTTTTTCACTCATCTAGTTTCTGGGAGAATAGTTAAGATTGCCGTTGGATTTCAAGGGCTGCTTCATTACAAAGAGCAGGGGGGAAAAAAAACCCTACCAAAACCCCTAAACCTTCTGTTTTGCCTCCTGAGACCACTTTAGTGTCTCATAAGATTCATATGCTCTCCATTTTCTTAGAACAAGTTTGTCCTAAGCTATGTCTTAATGCAAAAGTCTTCCACCAAATGTCTGAAGTGTTTTCTCCTCACCCCCCAAAATAAAGGAACAATATAGTAAAGAATTTCTTTGGGTATTTTTTTTGTTATTGATAGACCTGGGATACCTTGCCCATTTACCTATTTAATATATTAGATTTTAATAGTAATTGGCAATACTGAGCTTTGCACATCTAGCTAACGTACTTACCTACAAAACAAGTAATCACCTTACATAAAGCAGTAGTCCATCTGTGTCATACAGGAGTGAAATTCTTTGTTGACGTAGTTGAAGCTAGGCTTCCTGTTCTGATCTAAAAAAGCAGCAGAAAAACATCAGCTTTCAGATAAGTCATCTTCATATTGCTTATTTGTTTTATCACTTCTGAAATATTCTAGAAAGTAATTCACAATTCACATTGAGTGAAAAAAATTGAGGACAATACAGCATGAATTCTCATTATTTTTTTCATTGAAATTTATCTTGGATCAGAAAGCTGAGTGGTGAGGACATTGAAAAAGTTCCTCCTTCCTCTTCTGGGATAAGATCTGGTATGGCTGGCTTTAGATCCATGAAATGCTAAAGTATCAGAGATTTGTGAAGAGTCTTACAGAATAGCTGGGCATCATGTCCATTCTCTCCTGTGAAAAAAAATTCTGTCTTTGTTAGTGGTTAAACTTGGGTTACACATCAGCAGACAAGAACAAGAAGTGAAGTTAGATTTTCGTGAAGCCAGTCATGCTCTTTTTGAACTTTTCCACTGTTTCATGCACAGTGAACTGATTACGTGGGAAACTGTTGTGTTCAAATATATCTTTACCCAATGAGATATACCTTTATTGTTGACAAACTTGCAGAGAAAATTATTAGGATAGTATGTTCTAACTGCAATATTGTGAGAGGGAGGAAAGGGGGGTGAATCTCTGCCCTGCTAAAACTCTGAATAGCAGTTGGCAACTTTCCGAGGTAGGTAAAGACATTCAGGTCCTCCATGGCTCCACCAAGCTCTGATAAAGGCTATTTTGGTGGAAGTTGGTCCGATGGACATTCAGACTTTCCAACGTCATCGAGCAGCTCTGTTTCCCTTAGGAAAGTTCCTTGTGCATATTTTTCTGCATTAGATCCTGATAAGGGGATGACAAAATATAATGTATTATGACTACAAATTGCATACTTTATGACAACTTTGTAGGGAAGGGATATCGTAGACTTACTGTTTTCTGACTGGCAGCGATTAGTTCTGCTCCGAGACATTTTTAACCCTTCGCACTTCAAAGGGAGTTGGAATTTGTGGCTGTTCATGATGGTGTAAGCTACAAGAGCTCACATACTGTGTCTGTTGTACTGAAGCAAAGATGAAGCAAGTTGCTGTATTTCTCCTAAACTTCCATGTGAGCTGTTTCTCATGGGACTGTTTTGCCGAGTACGATGTTAAGCAAGCAAGCATGTTTGTTTATTAAGGTCATTCTTTAGATCCAGTTGGTTGCCTTTTCAAATATTAGACTAGACTTCTTGTCTCCGTTTCCATGAGGAAAGTGAGACTCTGCCTGCAGCAGCATGGCGGCTATCGTGTTTAATTGGTGCAACAGGGTTTTTGTTCATTCATAGGTAGCTCAAACAAGCCATTACTATGGTAAACAAAAAAGTATAATTAAAAGCCTACCTCTTACAATAGGTATTTTTTTTACAGATGCTGTAATGCGTCTGTGCTAGGATGTTTTTCCTTCCTTTTTACAACAATGTAAATTATGATTTCTGGAGAATGAAGAAACAAAGTTGCTTTTGTTATGAATTTTTCCAGTTGGACTTGAACACTTGATAAATGGCTGTTTTGTATAACTGGAATACAAGGGTTGAAGGAAGGTCTTGTTTTACTTTAGTATTGATTTATTGAAGGAAAAAAACCAACAAGCAACAACCAAAGCTACAGTATTTGGGGGTACAGAGGATATTATGTATTGAACTTTTATATTTGAAGTGGGAATGTTATAAATCAGCATGTGATAATGACAGCACAGCCCTTTGACTGAACTAATAACTTGACTTTTATTCTTTGTGCTTCTTTGCAAAACTGAGGAAGTTGTGTGTCCTCTACAATGCTGTTCCCTTTGCAGTACTTTTTTTTTTAATCCTTATTTTTTATATTACACAATATTACATGCAATTTTGGAAATGAACATCAAATATTATTGCAATAAAAATATATATTATGATGACTGCATTTTTATAATGTAGCATAGTAATGTAAATGCAACAGCTCCTATCTGCATTTAGTAACTCAGTAAAATTTCCAAAGCTGAAGTATTTTAAACCATGCACAATTACAGTGCACTCACTTGTATCATTGCATCAGACATCTTTGAACTATATTTCTATTTTTATGGAATTCTGACAATGTTTATATTTTTCATCTAACAGACTTTCCAGGCTGCTATCAATCAAGTGTTTCCTGCGGAAGAGGACAGCAAAAAGGATGTAGAAGATAATTGTAAGTTACAAATTTAAAAATAAATTATGCATTTGAAAAAAAAATCTGTATAGAAGAGAATATTGTTTCCTTACAAGCTTCCTGTTTCTTCCTTGTAGTCTTTGTTTTGCTTCTTTGCTTGAATTTATGTATGACCTCTACTAGTCCTTTAAACTTCTTAAAGTAAGCCCATTTTAAACATCACTTACTGTGGCTTTTTAATTTTTAGCTGAACACTTTAGAGGAAGTCACAGTTGCATTATTCCCACATACAACTGTTACATGACTTCAGATATATATCAGATGTCACCTAACTGCGTCAGGATCAACTGCATTCAGCATTATGGGGGTTAACTATATCTTTTATAGTGCAGCAAAAGAATTAGTTGCTTAGCAGCAGCTGTGTTGTACAGCATTTTCCTGCATGTAACCTATTTCTCAGATAGCATTCCTGTGGAAGTATAGGTAATTGAAAATAAATTTTAAGATAACCTTCCCAAAGCTGGAGACAGGAATCTGGACCCATCGGGGCCACTGGAAAAGGAAATAGGTCATAGTGAATTGGATACAGGAGTGCTGCTGGAGAAGGAGTTTTGAGGTGAACTTGTATAATAAACTTCAGTGTTGACCTGCAGGGCTTTTATTTTGTTAAATATTTTATAGTTAGATGTGTGGAAAGAAATACAGTATTCAAATCTGGGGAGAGGGTACCAAGAAAGGTGAGTAAGCACTAGCATCAGCTTTTAGAGAACTGTTAAACAAATATTGTGCTGCTGTTGTTCTGTGTGAGCAAATCACAGAGAGACTCCTGTCTGGAAAACCTGATGAAGGCAATTCTTTTAAACATTTCCTATGGTGTTTACTGGTTGGTGAAAATACTGATAACTTTGTAAACGGTGGGCAAAAGTATCTTCTATTGTTCTTAATTTAAAATAGAGGCTAGGACTTTGAAAGTTGTTTAGGTGATTTAACCACAATTCCTGTTTTGGAATAGGGGTTAGTATTTATATCCCGTGACAGGAAATACAGCTATTATTACAGAATTATAGCAGCTCTGTAAGGAACAAGAAGATGAGACCGGAGGCTTATGATCTGACTTAGATGGTACAGTGTCGTTACAGGCGGAACCAAGCTGGTAGCCTTATTTCCAGTTGCTTATATTTTTGCAAACATTTACGTGGGTTGAAACTTTTCAAAGCTGGTATCTGTATTCTCTGCACGATTAATGTTAGGGAAATGCATTTAATCTGTGTATCTGTCACAGTGATTTTACTGAAATGTCCTGGCACCTCAGTGTCCTAGTGTCAGGGAATTGAAATTTGGAATAAGATTATGGAAATAATTTGACATTCTAGCAAAATACTATTCAATTAAGTTAAAACAGTCTTCCTATCAGAGAAAATGTCTTCTTTGGCTTACTGAGTAAAATATAGACTTAAAAATGCTTTGTCCAGTAGTCCTTTCTGTATCAAACGTTATTTTGAGACTTAGTTCTAACATAGTCTCGCTTTTTGTTCACTAATTGAGGTTTATCTCCAGGATGTGTGAAACCCAAGTTCATTTTCCTTCTCTGTCAGAGAGCATTTGTGCTGAGCACATTGATCTTTTTAAGAAGAAACTTTATAAAACACTGAGTACTTTCAGTCTCTCATTTATAATACTGTTCTGAAAAATCCTGAAAAACTAGTTAATAATACACACCATTCCAACCTATGCTTTAGTGATTAACTCCCTTCTAGGAAGTAATTTGCTGAAGTATTGCTTTTTTGCACCCTTAGTCTTTCATATCCCAAATGCATTAGCTGCAGGAGACACCTTTTTGAGAATCTAGCCCTTCCGTAAATGGGAATTTTCAGTAAATATTGCAAACAGTACAGAGACAAAGCATTTACTTCTTTTTTTTTTTGTGATTCACACTCTTCTCACCCCCTCCCCCTCCTCAGTTTTGGGGGGTTGTCACCATATGTGGAATTTTTTTTTTTTTTAATGGCCACGAAAAAGATTTTTTTTATTGATTTCTGGGATGAAACAATTTTAAAAAAATGAAGAGGGGCAGGGTATTGGGTAAGAATCTTGGGAAAAAAAAAAATAGTTCTACAGATGCAGCACCTTGCAATTACTTGATAAAATTATTTTCCATACAAGCCCTGCTTCATTGTGTGCACAGGAGAGCCAGTGTGAGTAAATTTCACATTGATATTTCCTAGCTTTTAATGCCTGACTTCACTTCTGTGAACTTTGTGTGTGTGTGTATAAGTAAATATATGGTCCATTAAATGCACATACATACACTGGTTATATTTAGGCATGAGCCATATGAATATTCAGAGTTGTCTCTCTGGTAACTTCTTTTACCTCTGGATATGGATGCCTCTTTTAAAGGATTTATTCTAAAGAAGATGCATTTTAATGTTGCTGACATAAGCCTTAGTTTGCATGTCTTGAGTGAAGGTAGTGACATTCCCTCGGGGAGCAAGCTCCCATTATTATGCACCGAATCTGCAGGTATGGCTGCTTTAACAAGGGCTGGAATCCTTTTGCAAAGAGAGTACTGGGGATGAACTGAAACCTGGGGTCCTTTGTTGTTTAGATAATTACCAAGTTTTTATTAGGATGCTTAACTGATGACTGTTTCCTTTAAAACGTACTGCAAACCCTGAGAGGTTCTTATGAAGATACAGTCAAGGGAGAGGATCGTTTCTTTAAGTGTATGTAGACAATTACTATATAGTAGTTTCTCAACTCAATACTGAGAATCCAAATGACTTAAAAAAAAAAATTAGCAAACTTCAAAAGTTAATGCCCTGCCTCCTCCTCCCCAGGCATACACAAGGGGAGAAGGAGGTTTTGACTTATTAGAGCAAACAGGAGTTTCTGTTTCTGGCTCATTTCCTTTTAATGTCTCTTTCTCTTGGGATGACATCATTAGAAGAGGTGAAGGCAGAAAAAGGTCTGTGGAGGCAGACGTGCAATTTGTGGTCCCAGCACCATTTTCTCAGCCCGGTGGACTGAGTGTGCCTGGCGAGGGGAGGAGGAGAAGTCCTGCTGTGCAGCGCTGGGCGCCTGCGCTTGGTTGCTGCACGTGCCAGCGACTGCATGGTTAGTGGGGATGTAGGTCCGCTGGGATGACAGGGCAAAAGACCATGGTGATCGGGACCAGCCTGCTGCTTCATGAAGGTATCGTGCACAGGCCCGATTTCAGGGCTGTTGTGACCCAAATGGAGATTTCGCTTAGGGTAAAGCTAAAGCATGCCTTGTGTGCCTCCGCCAATGCAGGGGTGTACCTGCAAGGGATTTTGCGGAGGAAGATGGTTTCTTCTAAGTAACCCAGAAGTTGCAAGGTCCTTTGAGAAGCGTGAACGACTCCAGCCATGTGAAGCAAAGCTATATTTAGTCACGTAAGGGAAGGAAGGGCTGTTATTCAGTGGAGCTACTCAAGTCAGAGGAAGGCTGCACACCGCTGCTGAACTTGCCTTTGCTTCAGGCTGGTCTGGTGTAGGTGGTAGGAGGCAGAGCCACAGCCACTCCTTGGTCCGCTGCGGGAGGAAGGGTAAAAGATTGAAAACAAGAACACAGATGCACTTGAGAAGCTCACATTATCCTTTGCCAGTATCTTTTGGTTCAGCAGGAGGAGCATTGAAGGAGATGTTAAGAGCTGCTTACTGAGCTTCAGGCGTCCTGGCAGGGCGAGGTGGCTGGGCAGGTTGACTTTAGGTCATAAGAACTGGCAGCCCTTCTTGCACATTTGTGTAAGTAAGTTGGAATACATTTTTCTCTGCTGGAGCCCTCGAGAAAGGGCATCAGTCCAACCTGAGAAACAATTACGTTAGTCATTACAGATGAGGGGTGCATATGTGGCCCTCGTGTGAGGTGCGAGGTAGCAGTTACTATTACAGGCACAATGCTTACTCCATCAGCAGTAGTCAGATGTATACAACTTTTTAAGTGGCACTAATATTGTAAGGTTTACCAGTATGGTAGTCAGTCAGTTGTAACTAGACAAAACAGTTTTGTGCACTTGAATTTTAAGCGGTGAGAAAAAGAGGATTGAGCATATTTGAAAACGGAACCTGTGTAATGAGTAGTGCCCTCAGTTGGTTTAGGGTTAATGTTTTTAATGTTGTTACAATGGGAACTGGTAATGACCTCTATAATTAAGACTACTAACGCTTTCCAGTGCTTTATAGCTGAAAGCAAGGACTAGCTTTGCCAGAATGTGAACCCGTATGGTCTGAAGCTTTCTGTGGGTGCCCGCTCACTGCCTTGAGCCACTGCCTTGTAACATTTCAGCAGAGTTGGTTTGGTTATTTTATATTAAAGGAGAAAAATAAAGCTAGATTTTGTTGTGTTAACTTTCCCCCCCCCCAACAGTTCTTTGAGGAGGCCTAGTAGCAACAAAATTCAGAATTGAAGCACGAAAGGTTGCATGGGTGCCTGGTGTTGCAATGATGCCTTGCTGCCGCCTCTAGACAGTATTTCCCGATTGAATCGGTGAATATAAACATCTAAAAATCACCAGGAGCCAGCAGTTATTCTAAATGTCAGTTAGGTGGCATTACCCCAGGGACACTGTGGCCGAGATTGGAGAGGGAGCTGGAAGGAAGGAAACAGTCGGTGTTAGGGATTGTGGTAGGCACCCGTTTCTGTGCTTACGGGCTGGCGTGGGGGGGACGCACCGTGTTCGTCTGAAGGACTGGTGAAAGGAAGCTTACGCTGAGCAGGGCCTGTGTTGAGACTCTTGGAGTCTGACTCTTCGTTCAGCAACTTTCTGTAGCTCCAGTTGTACAGCAAAGAGCAGGTCTAAAACTGTAACCAAAGAGAGGGGAAGTAAAATTCTCCTTGATCCTAAGATACAGTTTTTCATCTGTACACGAAGGTAGTCCTGAGCTCTTAATGGTATATGATTGTCTTTTATTTGCAGGTTCCCTTATGTATTTAAATGAGGCCACTCTCCTTCACAATATCAAAGTTCGGTACAGTAAGGACAGAATTTATGTAAGTATTACATGTCATGACAACCAGTCTAATGATAGATGTCCTTTCAAAAAATCAACAAAGCAAGTGTTTCCAATTCTGTTTTTTCCTATAACAGAAACTAAACAGAAATGGTAACATTGGAAGGTTAGGAGGTTTTAGGCCTTTTTTCTTTTTCTTTTTTTTTTTTTTTATTACATTATACCTGGTTTGAGATCTGAATCACGTTAATCACATTAATGTTAGCTGATTTTTACAAGGCAGAGCAATAGATTTTTCTCTACATGACTGTTCATGTGCAACCATAGCACAACGTTGTATCACAAAGGTCTGTTCCTGCAGGTAACTTACTTCGCCCGTAGAGTAGCTGTTAACAAAGATGGTTTTCTTTCTTCATTATTTTTGAACGAAGCAAACAGGTGCCGTCTTTGACACCTCCTAGCTCAGATGTCCATCTTAAACTTTTATATTGCTATCAAATTGCCTAATTGTACTTAATGAATTCTGACTAAATTACATTTTGTCCTTGCCATCTGCCCGGACACTGACAGCTGTGAAACAGAAGAAAGATAAGAGTTTTCTTTCTTTTTATTTTTTTCTAATAGGAAGCTGGCTAGTGATAATGCAAAGCAGTTCTACATATTTATTAAGTGTCTGTGTTAAAATAACAACTTTTGTTTTAGCTTACTGTTCTAAAATGTATTGAATTAAAAGTTAAACCCTTTTACATAAAAGAAAGTATAGTTGCTTTCCTTTGTTGCAGTTAACTTTACATAGCTATAAATTCTTTATGGCTTAAGATCAAGCACCAGCTTTAAAATAAATAAATAAAATTGGCCATTTGAATGCTGTTCTGGAAAAATAATAATTAAAAAAACAACCAACTGGTTATAAGGTAGGAGGGTATTTAGGTTCATAAAGCCTTTCTTCATTGTAAACAAATACTACTAATATGTTGTCCTGAGAAGGTGTATTTTCTGGAGGAAAAACTAACAAAAACCAACCAAGGTTCAATTTCTATTTTAACTACTTTTCCCTTGTAACTTTAAGATACAGTTTGAATTAAAGATTGTTTTTGCTTTTTGTTTAATGCTGGTTACCAGTATTTGCCTTGTTACTAAAAGGAAAACTAATGTTAGTACTTGCAGCTCTCGAAGAACTCTGTGCATATGTTTTCCTTCAGTGAAATAAGTGCTGAAAATAGAAACATCTAATAAAATTCATATATTGTGTGTGATCCAGCCTTCTATCAACATATCACGATAGTGTCCATATGTCAGTTGTTTAGGGATATGCTCAGTAACAACAAACCAAATAAGTTATTCAAGCTGAAGGTTTATCTGCTTTTTCTTCAGACCTTTTCCTGCAAATCTGCTTTTTTCTGTCATTCATACACCTGTTCTTCTTTGTATATAATGTGGCCATTATAACCAAGCTATGAAAGTTTCTTTTTTTCAGAAACCTTAAAAAACTTAGCTTCAGTCTTCCTTATCCTATGGAAAAGTAAAAAGCAGTCTTGATTTGAAATTCTTCTCAAATTCCTTCTCTACTAGAGAACATTTGCATTCTGTATTTCTCACTGTGGAAGCAGCCATAGCTAATTTCTCTCGGCTGAATGCTTTTATTGCCTGGCTTGAGCGCGTTCCCAGACAGGATCCTGTCAGTCCTTCCTGCTGAGTTGCTTCCATTAGATACTGAAAAATTATCCTCCTCACTGGAGGAGAGTGCGTTATGCTAGCCAGGAGCCTAGTTTATTCACTTTTGAGGAGGAGGTTGTGGTGTCCTATCCTTGATCCAGTAACTTGGACAATAGGAAATAATTTAAAAGGAGATTGGGAGAAAGGTCAAATTCAGGACATGCTCCACAGCTCAGTGGTTAGGAAATTCTCCCGAGAAGTGCTTTTTCACAGAAGTCCTGAGAAGATAATTAGAGGAACTCTGAAAATATATCTGTTCTTGTATCTGCATTAGCTGGAGAGAATTGTAAATGTAATTGTTATAATTATGCTATAGTCTTCAATAGTAATAGAAAATTGCTGTTAACCACTTGGTTGGATACTAGCTAATAGTTTGCTGTTAATTGTTTTCTTCACAGACCTATGTAGCCAACATTCTTATTGCAGTGAATCCATATTTTGATATACCTAAGTTTTATTCTTCCGATACTATTAAAAAGTACCAGGGTAGATCACTTGGAACATTGCCACCACATGTTTTTGCTATTGGTATGTATTGAGCCTGTATTTGTCTTTTACAAAACAAACATTAAATACTTCACAGTTATCCATAAATTGCCACCTGTAACAGTAATTAATTTACTTTAAACTGTTATAAAATAAACCCACTGTTTGCTAAAATTGCAAATCTTCTCGTCCTTGATATGCAGTTTGAAGAACCTGGAAATTAGAAACCCTGTTGTTATTATTCTGTACCTCCAGTGTTTTATGTCTGAAGAGTTTAAATATAATTTACAACCATTTTAAAAAAAAGAAAAAAGAAAAAAAAAGAAATTCGGATTTTAGAAATGAAGAATGACATAATTATGACTGGCACTGTCTTTCAGTGTAGTGATTTCCTTTGCCTTTTACTATGTTGCCAGAGTACATGCACTGTTTCTTTTTATATATATGCTTGTGTTATCGGCAGGAAGTGCATTTAAATGTTATTAACGGGATAAACCCGCTTTCAGTGACTTTGTTTAAGAAAAAATAATTTGGAAACTACAAATCAACATTTGACTTGTTAAAAGCCTTCTCACCATGTTGCATTTTGTAATCAAAAGTATAAATAGCTGGGTTTTTAGTACCTGTTGCATAACAAGAAAACTACCCATGTTTTTCCAAGTTTCCTTGTCTCGGATGTAAGTGCAACTGAAAGTAAAGTTTCCCTTTAAAGGACACATTAAAGTAAGATTGCTTACAATTCCATAAATACATTTAATTCAAGAGATTTAGTTCTAGGTGGTGGTTTTTGTTTTATTTTGTCCTGGATATAGTTGAGTAGGTTTTTGTTTTCAAAGACTTTAAGCTCTTACATGTCAGTGTTTGAGGGTGAGCAACTACAATGTAATTTAAAGGGAAACAGACTTTAATAAGTTGTAATGCACTCAATTGTAAAGATTTACTTTGTTACTCCTGAAAATGTTACATTTTAATTTTTGTATTGTAGCTTAACTTTATGCTTGCAACTCTCCTGATGAGTAGGTTTTTGTTTTCAAAGACTTTAAGCTCTTACATGTCAGTGTTTGAGGGTGAGCAACTACAATGTAATTTAAAGGGAAACAGACTTTAATAAGTTGTAATGCACTCAATTGTAAAGATTTACTTTGTTACTCCTGAAAATGTTACATTTTAATTTTTGTATTGTAGCTTAACTTTATGTTTGCAACTCTCCTGAATATTAATTTTTGTCATGTTTAACGTATTCTTCTTTTTAAGCTGATAAAGCATTCCGTGACATGAAAGTGCTCAAGATGAGTCAGTCCATCATAGTCTCTGGAGAATCGGGAGCTGGCAAGACAGAAAACACTAAATTTGTTTTGAGGTTTGTGCTTTTGGACCAAAGTTAATAATTGAATTTCTTGTGTTCATGCGTTTGGTTGACGTACAGACAGAGCAAATTGTAAAGTAATCAGTAGGTTTAAGCCACAATTCAGTAAGATACTTCTACGTATGCTTTAATACAAGAAATTCATAGGGTTAAACTTAAATGCTGACATGATAACATAAGGAAATGGCTGTATGTTCACAGAAACCTTAACTCGGTTGTAGTGACATCATGTAGTAATTATGGTTTGTGATGCAGTCATTTTGGTATTGCACATCTGGTATTGTGGTAGATAAAAATGTAACTAGGCATTTTAACTGTATCTTGCAAGACACTGTTGGTTTTGCCATAAATGTGCATTTCTGTGTTTTCCCTGTCTTTGTTTCTTTAGTTTGCTTAAGCATCCAGGGTTTTTAACTCTTGATTTTTGAAATAGCTGCAGAGATTCTGTAATATACTTTACCCTAATTTACTGAATAAGATTGAATAATGGGATTTATTTATTTATTGATGTTCATGTATGACCGATACTAAATCAAGCATATTAAACTACATGGAGGCCATGTTGCTGATATATATCAGCCTTCCTTCCTCTTGTATGATTTTAATGTGTTTGACCATATTTGCTTTATACTTTAACTGCTTTCTATCACTCTGGAACACTGTAACTGGAAAGCACTGCTCCATTAAATTCACCTATATCATAGGTGGCCTGATTATTCAGGGAAGCACAGCGCAGGCAGTGTGAATACGCTCCCTTCCCCGCCTTGTCCTTGTTTCCCAGTATAAATCTTTAATTCCCTTTTCCCTGACAATCATGTATTCTCTAGTACATACGTACAGTAGCGGTATTATCTTCCACATCCCATGAAGAATTGTCATGGCTGTCTGTCCTTCATACTGCTCTTCTCTGCCCCTGTGCAACCTTTAACAGATAGCTGTAAGAATTACTGCAAGGTGCTGGTAATGATTTTTACAGGGGACTTCCTAACTTTGATCCTGCTAAAAGTAAAAAAAAGATGGCAAGGCACTGGGAGAACATCTCCTGAGGGATGCTCTTAAAGGAGGTTATTCTTCTGCTTCTCAGCAAAGGAAGTTCTGATTACATGGCAGGCAAATATTGCTGCTGCTGCTTCTCCCCACCACCTGCTCCCATAAAGTCCATGTACAAAACATCATTGAGTTTTAAAAACAGGAAGGCTTTTCCCTTGTGTGATCAGAAAGCAAAAGGTACTAATAGAGCTCTGTTAGTGCTCCTAAATTTTTTTTGGAAGTCCCCATTTTTGAGAACTGTTTTTAACTCGTCCCAGATTTACTTGTGAATTTCCAGAAAGCATGCCCTGTGCGCAGGAAAAAAAAAAAAAGAAAAAGAAAGCTGCAACTTTGGAGCAAGTACGTTGTGGATTTATTTTCAAATTCTTTCTTCAATTGCTAAATTGAATCTTACCTTGATTATGCACCTGCAATTTCCTATCTCACCGTCTCCATGTGGGATTTTTATTAACACTGATAGTTATGAACACAGAAGCTGTATGCGTGGAAACAGTCTTTAATTCAGGAAATACATATGAAACCTTATGCGTTTACTAAGATTATTGATAAATGCAGATAGTACAGTAATAGTTTCATTATATTTGTATAAAAGTGTGATTTCCATATGCACATCTAGAAGAAATTTCTAGCGTGTCTTGAAGTATTGAAAAAAATCTGAAGTCTGCAAGAATATTTTTAACAAAAAGAAAAAAGTCAAACTGCATTTATTTAAAAAGATACAGGTATTTCAAACTTGTAATCAATATGCTTTCCCTTTAGTAAATGGTTGGTAAGTATGGTGCACAGATGTGCTAAATCCTGTTGAATTGAGGTAACCTGACACATGAAAGATACCGATAATTTTATCTTGCTTTACAGGTATTTGACAGAATCCTATGGTACTGGCCAAGATATTGCTGATAGAATTGTAGAAGGTATTGAATTTTCTTTAATTGAATTAAAGGTTCCAATGTTTTGGAGTTTTGTTTGGGTTTTTTTTTCCAAATTTGAAATGTCAATCAACAGTAAATACATAAAAGCTAGGATGGAAATACTATCAGACTTCCTAGGGCATCATTTACTGGTAGTTTACCTTGATCCTAAATTCTGAAAACATATTTTTTTTATTTGTGATTCACTTCATTTTTATTTAGTATAGTGTCATATAGTCCTTGATCTTGAAAATGTTTGTGTGTGTGAGTTGAACTTCACACACATGTGTACCCAAGATTGGATTTTATGCTGTATGAAATCTGCAAGGACAAGATTATGTTCTCATTACTATCAGTTAGTACCAGGAAAGAGTAATTCTTCCTCCTCACCATAAAGTTCTCAAAGTCAGATAAAGCAGGGAAGTTCTTTTAAATTATGGTTCTGGGTCATTTTTCTGTTACGTCTTTTTTGTCAGAAAGCACACAATGAATTGTGTCTATCTTTATAATAGACTCCCAAAAAAGGTCAGAAGAGACTGTGTCAATCTTTACAATAAACTCCCAAACAAGGTCAGAAGAGACTGTGTTGGTCCTCCAGTTGAGCCTCTTTTAATGTTGCATGCACTTCCTAATTGAACAGAAAATAACTTTTTGAGAAAATATAAATATCTCAAAAACAAACAACCCTCAGCCAGTCTAACAATGCCTCATATGTCAGTTTTAGTCTTCTGTAGCATATAGAAGATTTATTTCGGATTTTCATTACTCTCTCTTTTTCTTAAACCAAAAACTTTTATTTTTTCTTTTGCTTTAAATTTTCTGTTTTCAAACTCAAGCCACTGGATTATTCAAGACAACTACTGCAGGCTTTAATCTCTTGTTGCTGTAGGTTTGCTTAAACCAATTCCGTAGTGAAATCCGCTGTGTGCTAAAGGAGCTCAGAAAGTGGCCAAGAGTTGGATAATGCCTGACGTAGTATGCCATAAAATTAATTGGTACTTGTAGGTATTCTTAGAAAAGCTTTGTGTTTTTAATCTAAAACAGCATCTGATGTGTGAATTTTGAAGTTTTTTAGGCACAATTTTAATAAGCATGCTTACAGCATGTGTATTACTAGAGGAACCTTTAACCTATCTGAAAGACCTCTTGCAATTTGTTTTTATTCATAATCTTTTCTTCAAAACTGTTAATTTTATGTAAAATACCTGAATAGTTATCAAAGATCTCTTAAGAAGTCAGTTTTGAAAGTCAGATTTTCATTTTCATATGCTTTAAGTATTAAAAAAATGAAAACCTAGCCAAAACAAAAAAGTTAATGCTGATGTTGTCCTACTAAATGATGCATTATCATCTGTAATTTATTCAACCACTGTAGTTTTTCCTTCACTTTTTAATTTTTGTAGGAGCAGATTTGTAGATGGTTGTCAGTGGAGTTTTAAATCTCAGTTTCTGCTCACTTAGTTTCCAAGGCTAAAAAGCTTTATAAAATCTTGCAGATATTTTCAGTGGTTTATTGTTAGCGCGATTTAGTAAATCGGTTTTCTTTGATCTTCAGAGCTAACAAATGCAGTCTTTCAGAGGCCTTGTGTTTCATAACTGCTGAGCATTTTCAAACCGCTTAAACTGTGTGTGATGTGTAGATAGCTATATATATAAATATATATATATGCGCTTTAGATTGCTGTCACTCTTTCTGTATGGGCTTTGAGGCACTTGAAAACTGCAGCCAGTAAAAAAATAAAATCACTCAATCACTTAATTGACCTAATTTGACAGGGCATTTTTAAGTTGTTTTTGAAATCAACACACTCTTCTAATACGTTTTTTTTAATTTCCTAATCAATCTAACGTGTTGCACGCGTGACATTTAAGTGGCACTTTCATCTGTGGGATAAGTGGGTAGTTCAGATTTTAAAAATAACAACTCATTTGGAAGTGTTAAATTGTGTGTTGTCTCGTATAGTTTATGTATCAGTTATTTACCCACTTGCTGTAGAAGAACATCACTGAATAATTTTCGATGTTTGTCTCTGAATTTCTTACAGTATCGATTCAAATACTTTGCAATGTTATGTGATATTTAAATATTTCATTGTAAGTTCCACCACAGTATATCCAGTACAATTTGCAAAATTGATTATTCCTAGTAGGTAATATATTTCCTTTAATTTTCAAACCTTATTCCCAATAAGTTCGCTGAATAATTAGTATGTATTTGTTCTCTCATTCTTTTTGGTAATTTATTGATCAAATTTTAACACTTTAAAAATTTTAATTTTTTCAAACAGCAAATCCCCTATTAGAAGCCTTTGGAAATGCAAAGACTGTTCGCAACAACAACAGCAGTCGTTTTGGGAAATTTGTAGAAATTCACTTCAATGAAAAGGTACTGGAATTTTGATACAGATAACCAGTAATGGTTTGTGGGTTTGTTTTTTTTTTTTGCCATAAAATGGTAATGCTAGACTGGAAGTAGGCTGAATAGACTTACTTATCTTGCACCAAGTAGCTACTGTCCTGCTTTACAGATATGATTTGTATTCTGTCACCCTGAAAGGAAAACCAAAGCCACACAGTACTGTGTCACTACTGGAAAATGGTGGGTCAAGTCAGTAGGAAAATTGCTTCCATCCACAACAGAATAAAAATTGTTCCCTTCATTGCACAAAGGCATATCTAAAGGATAACTTACTTGCTGTTAAGTATTTATGCATTCCTCTAATGCACAAGTAAGTGTGAGTTGCATGTTACATATAAACAGATATAAACATATTTTAATGCTTTAATACTTTAAATGAATTATTGATATTCTTATGTATTTGTATGAAATTTTGGGACCTCGCATTAGTATTATGTATGTGACAAGTCATGGAATTGTTTTTTGTCAGAAGTACTATTCACTGTGTAGGTTATGAAAAATTTTCTTCGGGTGTAGTTTTGCTTGGATAGCGTATGTACACACACATTCCACAATTAAGGCTGACTGTATAGCTGTCCGGCATGTCCACGTTGAAGACTTTCGTCGACGACCGCTGTAGAGGTTATATCCATGCCTCCTCATCTTTCTGACTGAGGACATAGGAATTGCAAGAATTTGTTTCTTTTCCTGCAGAGTTTAAGTTCATCATCCGGTCTTGAGCTTGTGGTCTTTTGCTAAGTTTTCATCCCTTGGTTTTGTAACTAAACTTCAGATCTTTGGTTAATGGTTTAGATAGTAAATAACTAAATTTCTTTAAGGGTAGAGGGACTTTATCTGTTGGTCCAGTTGATGTTAATAAACTTACTGAAAGGACCCAAATTTCTACTTGGAATGATGCGTTCATGACCTGTCAACTTATCTGTCAACACTTACATGGTGTTTCAGATTAATTGCTTCAGCTGAAACAAATAGTGCTCAGAATATCTTCAGAAACTGCTTAAAAGCCTGTTGCAGCTTTCCAGGGCAAGATCAGCTTGTTTACTTGAGCCCCTCTTTTACAAGACTTCATACTTCACAAGACTTCACTTCGTGGTGACCTTATGAGGTCTGATTTCTCAAAGGAATATAAGTACAGCCTGGGGCCTCCTGAATGAGTGAATGACTGCATAACCATAGTCAAATTTGTCAGTCAGTAAGTCCTTCTTAGTTGCTGTAATGGCTGTAAGCTCAGGAATTTCCTTGCTATTAAGATTTGTCTAGGCACAGGGAATTTTATCATAGGCCAGATAACAAATGGCTTTCGAAATCTGGGTCAGACTTCCATCTCAGAAAAGAAGTGCAAGTGTTTGAAAAAAAATGTTAGCTCATAATTAGTCTGCCTAAGATGTTGTCCAAATATGTATTCTTTAATTTTAACCCTTCTTTCTCCTTTGCAAGACTCTTAGTGAAATACAACTAGAGAAGGTTGTAATAGCACGGTAATGGCACTTACTGCCATCCAAAAAGTGTAAGGGTGGCTGTAGCAATGTGCTTTGCAGGAACTACTGGAATTCTGCCAAGGATTTCTACTTGTTGGGGTGAAGCAGACCCTTCTTTTAAGAGGAATGTATGTATATGCAATACATGAGCCGAGGGGAGAAGTTGTGGTAAAGGTTTCTTTTCTAAGCTTAATACGTATTAAGCATAGGTATATTTTAACCTTCTTGGAGTGTCTGTTGAGCAAGCCGTGATCAGACAAATGTAAATTGAAAACTTCTGAATCTCAAATAATCCAAGAAATATTGAGATAATCAGAAAAATATTTCTTCCTCCTAGAATTCGGTGGTTGGTGGATTTGTATCACATTACCTTCTGGAGAAATCTAGGATCTGTGTGCAAGGCAAAGAAGAGAGGAATTATCATATCTTTTACAGGCTTTGTGCTGGTGCTCCAGAAGACATTAGGGAAAAACTATATCTAAGCTCTCCCGACAACTTTAGGGTGAGTATCAGAGTCCGGTGTTTTTAAAGCTTCTTGTATTGCCATACATGGATTTTTCATATAGATCTTATTAAAATCTGTTTATTACTTTGACAGAAGAGTCCGGTGTTTTTAAAGCTTCTTGTATTGCCATACATGGATTTTTCATATAGATCTTATTAAAATCTGTTTATTATCTTTGACAGACTCTTTCCTGTTACAAAAATCAGAAGTTTTTTCTGTTAAATCCATTTGGTCCTGAAATAAAGCTGCCTGCCATTTTTCCTTATTGGAAGATTTCCTGTACTTTTTCTCTGTGTCTTAAGAGTGAGGAATCCTTGCTTTTTCCAAAAATGTACTGTTGCATACCCAGCTGCTAGTAATGTTGTTATGGGCTCTTCTAGAGGTGTAAAGTGTGAATTTCTTGATTGTGGTCTAACTGTTCTGTGGGTAACCCATCTTTTAAGTCTTGAAAACTGCATTTATTTCTTCCTATTCCAGCCATGTGTTTAGGAAGACATAGGAGTTGTCCCACGATTCTCTCTCTTAAATTATTCTTCCCTTACGTTTCCCACCAAGGATCAGACCATGATAACAAGGTGGTTGTGCTTCTCTGTTCCAGTCCATGTGCTTTCACATAACTTGTCTTTTCTACTCCATTGCACTTTGTTCCTATTCCTATCATACTATACTCATTTGTACTGCTCCTTTCCTTTTGAGGCTTTCCCGTTCCTCTCATCATACTCCTCTGTCATTCTTGGTCACTCCAGGTTACATGATAAGACTTACCGGTCCCTTTCAGCTGAAAGCTCATCCTTTTATCTCCAATTGACCCAAAGCCCATGCTCAGCTCTTCCTGCCAAGATTACTTCTGTTCATTAAGCATGATCCTCCCTCTTAGGTTTTTCTTCACCTATTTTATTTTTTCGTGAGGACTACTTGCTATTTCTGAGTTTTGGCTATCTTTCCGCAACCTGTTACTGGTCCAGTCAGTCAAGTAATGGAGAAGCCAGTAAAATCAGTGCTGAATGTAATACTCCTAACTATACCTAAATGAAAGTGAACTTAAAATAAACAGCGGGGAAGTAAGACTTGAATCATTGTGCATACTTCTTTAAAAATGTTAGGTTAATGTTCAGTGGCAGGGAAAAAGCAGAGTAGAATTTTAGAGTTGTTAGGAAGGGAAGCGAGAATGAAATAGTGAGTTATGCTGCAGTGTACATCCATATTTGTAAATAGCGTACACAGTTTTGTCATCCCAACTCAGAAAGGAACAGTAAAATCCTTGGGTGAAGCAGAGGTCACGGTTGAAGACAAGCTCTTGGATAGTATGGGCCTTTTAATTCAATCCAGTGTGCCTGTTCTTATGACTTCTGATTTGCTTACTGCCTTCCCTTCTTCTCTCCATGCTTTATTTTTAGGGTTTTTGCCCTTTTCTGAGATTATGTGGTTTCTCCTGATTAACCCTGATTCTGTGTTATGTTTCTAGCAATCCCGCAAACAGGCTGGCTTTCTGTCCTACCATTATGTTCCTGCATTCTTTTCCTCCCATTTTTCCACTGAACAGTTTTACTACTTCAGTTTAACTTTTAACTTTTTCCTCCAGCTTTCCTTCTTTCTCCTCCCCTTTGCTATGTTCAGATTTCACAGAATTGTTTTCAGAAATGATCGACACATAACATGTTTCCTTTTGCTTTCTTTCTTTTCTTGTCTGTCAAATTTTGTCTTTTGTTTTGTTTGCCCGAGTGACTCCAATCCAATTTCCCTTATTTTTAAATTCTCTTTTAATTTCTCAGTGTGTTAAATCTTGATTGTTGCAGTAATTTTTTTCTTGAGAACCAAATATTACTGAACTCTTATCCAACCAGTGCAGCTTTACTGATACAGCTGTTTCTCATTGTCTTCCTGATTGTTCCTTCTCTTTCTCTTCAAAGCAAGCTTTTGCTGCCCCTTTCAAGGTCCTTCTAAGCCTATTCACATCTTATACTGTCATCACCAATTTTACTAGTAAGGTGAAGACTTTTGCCTTCAGTCATTCATTCCTGCTATTAATTACATATAAATGTATTGGTAGGTTTTTGTTTTGTTTTTCTTTTGCTTTTGACAAGCACACTTGAACTGTAAATATCTACAAATATCACCATGTGCTTTGTTGACTTGCATTGAAAAGAAAAATATCGGCAAATCAGTTCCTACTGGTAAATACTGGTCAGTTGTTTGTGTTCTGTCATTTGTCTCCATCTCTCCACTGTCTCTTGGCTTATGCCTGGCTTGGAATCTCATGGAAGCAGAATTTTGCATATTTCTAAAATACACAGACCAAATCCCTGCCATGGGTTTGGAAGGGTTTTGTAACACAACCCTGGAGAGCGTGTGCAATTACAAGGATATAAATTACTTGACTGCCATCTTTTTAGACTTCCTTGATCTGAAACAGGGTGAGGAGCACTGCTAACCAAGAATTAGATTACTGTGTTGATTGTTTTCTTTGTTGGTGTGTCTTCCTACTTGGTTTTCTAAATAAAACTTGGACTGTGCTTACCTGTTACTTTCTCCAAAACTTGGTTTTCTAAATAAAACTTGGACTGTCTTACCTGTTACTTATGTACTTATGTACTTATGTATCTTATGTACTCAGCTTCATCAGAATTCAGCAGATGGCTAGAAGCCTTAAAGATACAAAGCTCCTACTAGTTTTGTGCAAAGCAGTGGTTGCATAGGTGACACCTAAATTAGTGCGCTCATTGTAGGGAAGGCAGGTGTACACTGGTGACCGAACAGGTTGCTGCTTGCTGCCTCTTGGCTTGGCCAAGTCAGTCTCTGCTTACTGATGAGCCAGGAAGTGGGCACAGAGCTGCAGTTCCACGTTGTGCACATCATGCATTTGTACTGTGGTATCTAGATGACCTTGCTCCCTAAAAGCCATGGCAGTATTTTAGGACAAGTTTCCTTACTTCCTCAAAGGCGTTCCTAGGGGCCTTTATAGACCTTATATTATTTCTTTAAATATTTAGTTTGTATCTTCTTATAGTTCAGCTATTTGTACTCAGTTGTGCCATGGAAACTTGATCTGATGCTTATTAAGAAGGAACTGCTTCTGTTCTCTAGACAGAAAGCTTTTCTTTTGAAACACCCAACAAACAGCATACTTAAAAAAACCCCCAACACCATTTATTTTCATATAATATGGAGCTAGTTTTCAAAACTTTCTTCTTTGCTGTGCAGTTATTTTATGCAATATTCTCTTGTCTGTTTTAAAATCCTCAACAAATTTTCAAATATATATTTTTATTGTGCGGCCACTTTTCCATTAAAACTTATTTCTTGTAGTTAATGGATTTTTAATTCTGGAACTGATTATGCTGCGTGCCCACTCTTAGGGATTTTTTTTTTTAATCAAAAACTCTGCTCATGAGACCACGCAAGGTTGTAGATGTCAAGGTCAGAATTATAACCTGCTTAAAATCAGACTGCTGCAGTACAGTACTGAACAGCCTGAGTGCCTTTACAGAAGGCACTCACTTGCCTGTTTCAATTATAAAGAGTTTACAGTCACACCAGCCTTACCACACTGTGACGTATTTTTTTTTTTTTTGACTTCTACTAAGTTTGCAGCAGGTACTTTCATTTCCATTAAGAATATTTATTGCTTTACCGTAAGTCAGTATTTGAATCCTGAGTTTCTTCCTCATGTGAAAGATCCACTCTACATGTTAAATTTAAGAATTTTAACACTTCTGAAATATTTAAAAAATTTTTTCCCCTTCTGAAGTTAAAGTAGATAATCTTTAATTAAACAAAAAACTTAGGATCATTTTCATCTTTGTATGTACGTAAATTAATACAAATATACTTTGTTTATTAGTCATATTGCACTAAACTTTTATGAAGTATCACTTTACAGGAGATTTTTAGAAAAAAAACCCCAAACCTGTAAAAGGTTAATTTTCTTCCTAAAGTTGTATTACTTTTGTCAAGATTATTTTTTCTGTGTTACTCATTCTCATTTGCTGCTTCCGGTTTTATCATAAAATGGCTCTGAATAATCATGCTTGTGTCACTTTTTTACCACAGTTTTTGGTGACTGCATGTCTGTTTGGTTCAAATTTCACGGAAATACCATCTTTCAGGCTTCTAATAATAGATGGTGGTATTATACTAGGCAAGGTTTGATGATTGATCAGTGTTTTGATATTAATGCTAATTTTTTAGGCAAGAAAAACATTCAGAAAAGAATCATACTGTTAAATTGGTTATTTAGAAAAACCCATCCCTAAAGTTGCAGTTTTGCTTTGGCTCTATCGTGCCACTTGTCTTGTGCCTTTTAGCTTATCAAGTCAAAGTCCAAATTAGGGCCAGCTTGGGTCCTGACACTCAAGCATGTTTTGCTCAATGCCTGGTTTCTCTTAACTACACTCATTGAAAATAGGACCATCTCAAATCTAAGGTAATTCTCATTTTTCACGGAAGTGAAACAATATTAAAAGACGAAGGATAACTTAATGCTCTTCTTCCCCCCAGTTGTCTTCTTGCTTCCCTTCGACTTAAGTGATCCGTCGTAATCTCCTCCCCATGCATTTGGCCATGCTCTGGCATGTGAACCAAGACAACTGCGCTGGCTGCACCTGCCTGACCTGTTGTCTGGATTTCAGCAGCACCGATGGGGATTACCTCTCTGTTAGTTCATCCTTCCCTGCAGTTCTCTGGGGGAAGCATGAATTTACTTGGCAAAGGACTATGAAAAGTTGCAGGTTTCTTACACACCCCTCCTCCAAGGACACCCACACAAAAGCTTGCAGTCCTGGGTGTTCGTGTTTTAGGTTCCCCTGCAGAAATTCAAATTTCAGAAATTCAAAGTCATTAGGTAACCCTGTGCTGAACCTTGTAAGTCCAGGTGCCTTGGACTGCACCACATGGCTTTGACAGTAAAGCTGCACAGTAAATCTGTACCTGGAATATAGTTGGTCGAGATGAGAAGCTGAATTTTTTTCAGATCTTAATTTCCGGAAGAGAAATCAGATCATCTTATGTTTGGGTCAATGATGTTATAATGGGGTGTTGTACTTCAGACTAAAAAAAAAAAAAAAGGCAATGGTATTTAGATGTTATATATGATAAACTTAAGCTGTGTATTTGTGTGCTTTAAAATATAATTTCTCCTAGGTTTAATATGTAAATTTATTTGAGTTTTTAGCTTTCAAATGAAAGCCATTATCTTGTGATTAAATGTGTCCTACATAGGTTATTATTGAATACCCTGCTGGTTCACATTCTCAGCCTGTCGGATAAGTTTCCACATTCTCTTCTTGAAAAGTACGACCTTTTTCACTTCCCATCCCCAGTTTCTGGGATCGTGTTACTAATACTGTAATACAGGGATATATTGTTCTGTTTAAAATTTGCTGTGCTTTGCATTCTTACTGGCTGATAACAAAATATTGAAAAGTTTTTCTTTAAACACCAAGCTAACTTTCAACAGTTTCTCAACACTTTGTTTTAGTATTAAATTTGTCACCTATGTTTCTTCTGCTGTTAGAAATGCTTTGAAGAATATTTTATTTTTTAAAGTTTTGTATATAAATTTTAATCGAAGTGTAGGATTATCTGTGTTCACCTAGTTGAAAACATCTTCTTTGTTCATGGGCTAGAGCAAAGAACCAGTTCACTTCCTTTAGACAAAGGGCTCTGTCCAAGCTTTTGGACAGAGTTCTTACTTGCAGCTGAACAGATCAGAAAGAAAAAGCTGGCGATCCCATTTTGCTGGAAGGGTCAGTCATTGTCTGAATGCCTGGTCTATTCCCTTTACTATACAATATGAGATGGATATCAGAAGCCAGGTTCTGAATTAGGCTTCTGTTTGTACCATGTTATAAGCTTTTAATACTCTTCAAGCTTTTTAATATGCTATGTCTCTTACTACCTATAGAAATATTTTTCTGGTGAGGAAAAAAAGACCATAAAACTACGCTGGACTTAGTACCACAAATTTTTTGATCCTACCCCTCTCACCCACGGATATACTATATAAAGCCTATACGTTGCTGAAAACATAAAGATTATTGTGATTTTTTTCTGATCTTCTATACAGCTTGCTGGAGTGAAGTTTGGTATTATACATAGGCCAGAAACTTTATTTTCTTGGTTCCTAATTTTGATTGTCTTTTCTGTAATCTCAGACTCCATTAATAGGTTTAGTAGAGTCAAACATTAAGAAAAGATTGTGGGACTTAACAAAATGAATATCCCACTGTGTCAAAAAGTATTTTAGTTGTCAAAATCAAAAAGCTTTCAATGGAAGTTTGTTACTGTTGCACTTCTGTAATTTTGTAGATGTAAATAAATACATTTTCAAGGAATGAATTCTGAATACCTAGCATGTTGTTGGTATCATATGATTAAATCAAGCTATGTAGAGCAAGCCTTAAATGAAAGCATGTTTTCCTTACTTCTGTCTAAGTATGCATTTCTACTTTTTTTTATTGTTACAGTATTTAAATCGAGGCTGTACCAGATACTTTGCTAACAAAGAAACAGACAAGCAGATTTTGCAAAATCGCAAGAGTCCTGAGGTATGTTTGTATCTTCAGTTAGTTTATATTATTAACTAATGCAGATAGAGGTAAAAATGATGAATACAGTTTTACAGTGTGGAATGAAATGTTCATTTTACACACCTTTATAGGTCTAAATGGGTACTGTCAAAGCTGGTATATTCAGAACTCTGGTTTTGGAGTTCAGTCCTAGAAATACATTTTAACATGCATCTTAAAATCCCAAATGGAACAGTATATAAAATTGTTTCCTTTTCATTCTTACAATAATATAACACTTAATGATGCAGCTTGTCTTCAGTGGAAAACAAAAATCTATCCGAGACTTTTTGTAATTTTCTTTTTAAATCTTACTACTGCTAGGAATAGGTCAGAAGCAGTAGTTTTTTTCCAGAGCCATTTTTACTGTATGGATTTTTGAATGATGCTCCAAACTGTTTTATAAAACATCAGTGCAACCTCACTTCTAGCACGAGTATATCCCCCTCCCCAGTACACTGCGTTCTTTATTGTTTTTTGTTGTCCCCTTGCTATGAACTGTTGCAGCAGAGCATGGCATTGCCTGGAAGAAAGTGTGAAACTTCAAAACATTTCTTTCCTCTTGTTCCATCTCTGTTTACATTTTTTAAAACTGGAATTACCAGAATTTGTAGCATTTAAGCCTTTGATCTTGTTCGCATGAGGACACTAAAGAATTTAATCCAAATTAATAGTATATGTGAATTGGAAGTTGTTTAAACACTTCATTAAACTTCCACTCTGCTCTCTAATACGATTTTCATCTATTCATACCTAAAGTATGAATTTTTCATTTGTATAGCTGGAAGATATTTCAAATTTTAATCAAATCCATACTTGAGATTCAGTAGCAGGGCAAGCTGCATATATGTGTGGAATAATACAAAGATAAGTTTACTCAGAGCTTCTCTCCCCCAATGACCGTGCCATCTCTTTTACCTTTGACAACTTGGGCTTGAGCTCGTATGTAGCTCATGCCTAGCTATGAAAGACAGTATAGATAATTCCTTTGCTCAGGTCAACATTGTAGAGTCTCTTCCTGGATTTCTAGTGTTTGTATGTTGTAACACTGAGCACGTAACACCAATTTCTTTTGCTTGAATCTAGGCTATTTTCTATAATCGGGGATGGTGGAGAGTAAGATACAGAAATGCTGATTTGATGTTACTGTGAGGCAGAAAGCTAGTGGATACTTAGTTCTTGCCAAGCATGTAGGCTAAGAGATGATTGGGAGATTTTGCCTCAATTTACCTAATTTGCCTTAAATTAAGACTTGTAGTGAAGTTGGTAATTTATTCTTATTACTGGAAGATGAACCTATGCAATCTTCTGTTACTGATGTGATTTACAGGCGGGTGTTCTGTCATAAAATGTGTCCTCTAAAGGACTTAATTTGAAATAAGTGTTTGTCTAAACTAAGACATACTGAAAGAATAATTCTGAAAATATGTATTGGATGTTAAATAGTGGAACACATGATGCCATAATACTTGTATGTTACAGCCATGTCAATTTGAAGGCACAATAAATGATCACATTTCAGTGATATTAAAACTTAGTCTAGCCACTTAAACAGGAAATATATTGCATTGTTCAGTTTTTTTAAAATCAGAAATTTAATATTTGCTCTGTCTTCTTGTGAAAAATACTAAGATTGTTTATTTTAATAAAAGTAGCTGGAATGGTCAATTAATACTTAAATTATTTTTGTGTTTTCCTTATCAGGAAGACGAGGTGATCATTTTACATAATTTAAGATGGAGTTTAATTTTATTGATGTGTCTAAATGTTGTGTGAAGTGAATTTTTCAGATGCATGTGGTGTTTTGTTTTGATAAAAATCATGTTAGCTTATTTGACATTAACAAGGCATCTATTTAAAGTTAATTATTCTTTTTAGTTGAAAACATTTTAAAGGAATTGTAAAACCTTAGATCAGTCTGTGCATGTTCAGTTAATCTCTTGATTGCATGCAGATGTGTTACTATCTACTGTTTAAAACCATTAAATATTAAATAGCTTTTGATGTATTTAAATTAGGAAAATCAGCAAAATGTTAAATTGGTATTTTAAAACATAGCTGGTATTCTTTTAACCCGTAGAACACTGCGAACAACTTTACTGTTTCTTAATCACCAGCAAACTTTAACAAGTATATTTCTCTAAATAAGTCTGTTTGGGATAGGGGTAACTCTTCCAATTCTCATTTGTCCTGTACTCCTTTCCCATGGCCTGTCAAATTTTCTGTCATCCTGTTCAACTGCTATGGGCTAGAAGCACTCTTTGGTATGAGTGCTTTGATAGCTTCCTTAACCAAAATCTTCCTTTCCACTGCTCGCTATCCTGTATTCCCCTGTCTTTAGCTGTCACACTCTCCAACTTCTGCTTTCTGAAGATAGTTTGAAGTTTGCTTTGAAGCTGAAGTTAGAAGATCATGCTTTGAAGTATCAAGAAATTAAAACAAATTAGGGTTCTTGCAAAGCCTGTACTGTATGAAGAGCTCTAATGTCTTTCTACTTAGTTTGGCATGCTTTTTATACTTTCTGTTATGGTTTATTCTTGACTGGAAATACTTATGTTTACTTTAAAATCACTTACTGAATTTTCGGTTTATCTTGTTGTTTTGTAGTATCTCAAAGCAGGTTCCTTGAAGGATCCACTCTTAGATGATCACGGAGATTTTAACAGAATGTGCACAGCAATGAAAAAGATTGGACTGGATGATGCAGAAAAACTTGATCTTTTTAGAGTAGTGGCTGGTGTCCTTCACCTTGGAAATATTGATTTTGAGGAAGCTGGGAGCACTTCAGGTTAGATGAAACATAAATTGTTTTCTGTAAAAATTACTGAACATGTCTCGATTATAGATGATTCCTTTCCATGTGAATTATTGCTTTAGAAAGCTTCCTTGTGTTCTAGGGTAATTCAGTCTTAATTCACACCATTTTGAAGTCAAGTTTGCCTGGTTTTTTTAAAGTTGTACTTTTTTACATGCTCTGAAAGCAAATAGACTTTCACTGAAATTGTTCAAGAAATTGTTCAGTGCAAAGTTTGATATAAAGAAGAGAGACATTTTTGTATTTTAATAATAACAACTTTAAAAAGTCCAACTTCTTGCTAATGTCATGAAAACATCTTGAAATTAGCAACTCCATCTGTAGGGAAAGGCAGTATGTCCTTTGGCTTCCAAAAATACCATCATGTTAGTATATTGAGAGGTGAGGAAAGAAAGTTACAGCAAAAACTTAGGTAAATGTAAACTTCCTAATTTTAAGATGTCACTCACTTTAAGATGAGTTGGTACGAGCGTAGCTGGGACTTAGCAGAATGTACAGGAAGGGTGAGGAAGGGGAATGAGTATTTTGGGAATGGTCGTTCTTGCCTTACTACTGAAATCAGTCTCTCTAAGTTGAGAACTGCTGCCCATATATTCCTGAAGGACTGCAGAAACTCCCAGTCTGGACGTACTACAAATATTACTATAGTAGAAAAGATACAAATGATCTTTATCTTGAGTTGCAAGGTACACAAGGTACAGTGAAATTGGTTCCTCTTAGTCCTTACTTCAAGTATGTATAGCTGTTGCCAAACTTGGTGAAGTTGTTAGGAAGGGCATACCAAAGAACATTTTAAAAGGTGTTTTGAATGAGGACTTAAACGAGCACAGGCCTTATAAGTTCACTAGCTCCCGACCCCAAGCACAAAATCACCACAGAACTGTACAGATATTCTGTTTGGAAGAGATTGTGGGAGGTCTCTAGTCCAACGTATCCTGGTCAAAGCAGGGCCAACACTGAATTCAGACTGGGTAGCTTAGGGTTGTTGCAGAGAAGGTGTAGGGTGGGGTTTTTTTTTTCCTTTCTTTTTCTTTTTTTTTTTTTTCCTTAGGTCAAATCAGAACCTTCCCAGTGTCAATTCATGACCTTGCCATCTTCATGAAGATGACTGAAATGAACATGATTAATGTGAATGAATCTGGGAAGACATGGGGATAGAGAAGGGTAGTGGCTTCACAGGGCTCAGCAGTATGCTGGCAGGGAGCTTCCTTGCTTGGGCCTTCTGTGAGTTGGGACTTTGGGCTTGACAAGGTGGGACGGAGTGAAAACGGTGCAAATGTGAGTGGAGAGGCAGTTTCAGGAGGCAAACGAACAAGGAGAGGGGGAAACCTCAGATGGTGAGGAAAGTCAGCGTTCAGAGAAGGGAAGGAAGACACCAGAAAACTTATTTTCTCTGAATGTTGAAATTCAAACCCATTTTTCTGGAATAAATTATTACACTTCTGAAATGTTCATTGCAAATACGGGCTTTATTCTGCTCTCACCTTGTATGTGTACACACAGGGTGTTCATTTGAACCGCTCCGGGCAGTATGTCTCTGTACCAGAGACCCTCTAAAGTTTTGTTGCTGCTTTGAAAACCTGAGAAACACCAAAGGCTTTTTACTAGAGGTCAAGATGGTGTTTCAGAGCTTCCAAAATCAAGTCACAAAAGCCTTAATCTTTTAAGGTCTCCTTTCTCCCCTTTTTATTTTTTATTTTTTTGTTTTGCTTAATGTCATTGTAGAGTTAAGGAATTCAAGCAGTGTTTGACTAGTTATTTATCCCTTTTGGGTCTCTTCACTTACCTGTAGAAATAGATTTTACTGAGAACAACAGGAAATAAATGTAATCCTGGCATACGTAACTGTTGAAGTGTTAGATGTTGCTGAAGTGTTTGAGCGCTTCAGCTAAGGATTTATGAACCTGTAGTGGCTGGACGAGCTCCGGCGCCAAGGCCGTGGTGCAGAGCAGGAGGAAGCGCACCTCTCGGCTGTTTACGTGGGAAAATGTACGTGCCATTATCCGCAAATGTAAGCGCTAGGAGTCTGCCGTGCCAGGCGCTTCTGTTGGTCTGTGCATACACAGCAAGGCAGTCTGGAGGATTACAGGAACGTGCAGATCAAAAGTTTTTAAATCACTGCAGTTAGTTACTAGGTATTAGCACTTACATTTGGGGATAGTTCTTTCACTTAAAAGCAGGTTAGCTTTTGAACAACCTACGTTTAGAACAATGTTCTGGAAACACAGAATTTCATGTATACTTTTTGGGTGGGGTTTTTTTGGTGGTTGTTTTTGAGAACTGACTCTTTGCATTTAATATATGAAGTCATTTCCAGAGGCAAACTTTAATTCCTTCAAAGTTGATGTTACTTCTAGTTGTCACGGCAAGATCATCGCCGGTTCAGTACTTTTGTCCTAGAATTTTCCATACAAATGCCACACTTGCAGCAGTTTCGTTAACAACAGAGCGTACGGTATGAAATGGAGCGCGTGTCGGTCTCCGTATGCGCTTGGGGGGAGCCGACACTGAAACGAGGGGCAGCGGGGCGCGGAGGGGTAACGCCTGTGGCGGTTGCTCGCAGGGGGCTGCACGCTGAGGCCGCGGAGCGAGCCGGCGCTGGAGTGCTGCGCGGCGCTGCTGGGGCTGGACCAGGAGGACCTGCGGGGCAGCCTCACCACGCGCGTCATGCTCACCACGGCAGGGGGCGCCAAAGGAACGGTCATCAAGTGAGTCCCGCGCGCCGCCGGGTCCGCCCACGCCAGGCTCCCGCAGGCACGGCGGCCTCGGGGGGCAGGGGGGGGACGGGGGGGACACACGCGTGTTGTCGTAACGCCGCCGAAACGAACCGCCCGGGAGCGCCCCCGGTACGTTCACGGAGGGGCCTGCAGTGAGCGCGGCCGGGGGCTGGGAGCCGCTGACCCCTCGCGGCCCCGGCTGCGGTCTGAGGTAACCCGTTGCCCAACCTCCGCCCAGGGCCTTTGGGGTCCGCCTGCTGACACTGGCTTTGTCTGTCTTCTTACCCACGGGGAAAAGGCAAAAATGGCCTCAAACTCCCGCTTGACCGTTTGCAAGTGTGAACTGAGTCGCAGTTAGCGTAAGTGCAGCTGTTTAAAATGCTTACCTAATGGTTTACAAAATATGAGTACAAAAACATGGTACTGCAAAAACAGGAGAGTGCAGAAGACTAGCAGACTTGCAGTTAGTCCCTTCAAAACAGAAACAACGTGCTATGCTTTTCCAGTGTGCAAGTGTTAATTTTGAGATGACTGTTTTAACAGGGCTTTGATTTTTTTTTTTTTAATTTTTTTTTTAAAGCAGTTGATCCAAATGCACATTTTTAGATGCTCAGGCTTGCTTGTTTTGTTGTTGTCAGGCCATTGGAGTTTTTTTATTTTTATTTGAAAGAGTGGCAGTTGTACAACGTCTGACTAAAATGGCCTTTTTTTCAGGAAAAGAACAGCTTGGAATAAGTCACTATCACATTTTATAAAACCTCTCACATGTCAGTGAGCACACTGTGTGGCCAAAGAAAGTATAGCAGTCAGCCTGTTAAATCCATAACCTACACAGAAAATTAGATATGCTAATAGATTTAACAGATACACTGTATCAAGGAATGTTAATGCTGTGCCTAAAGTATGTCAGAAGATACTTGGGTGCGTATTTCTTGTCATGGGGGCTGCACAGTGCTCCCATGACTGCTGCCCTGTGGTATTAGGTCTGGGATGCTCTAATTGGAGGGTAGCATATCCACCCTTCTCAGTGTCTGGGTCATCAGTGTCCCTGTGTTTGCCATATCTAATTCTTCTGAAATCAAGTTTCAGCTTTAAAAACACCACCACAAACGGTAATCCAGAAATGCACTGCTTCTTGCTGTTGGTGGTAAACAAACATTTAATCTTGACTGCGAAGTTAATATTGTTTCATAGAACCATAAAAAATAGTGGAACGGGATAAATTTAAGAGAAAGTAGTGTCCGTCCGTGTCGCGTGTCACCCCCCGCCCCCGTAGCTATTAGGAACGCATCACTATTGAAGAAAATAGTGACCTTAAAAAAAAAAAAAAAAGTTATTATCTCTCTCATTTTGGCAAGAAGCTATTACTCAGGTAAGTTCCTAGGCACAGAAGTAGGATAATAATTTCTTTCTGTGCGCACATGGAGAAGGAATAATTGCAAAGAATATATTTAAACATGGTACTTATAATAACATTTCAATACCATGGAAGTTATGACTCTTGTGAAACTGAGTTTTATGAAAATGATTTCACTACAGTTGCCTTTTGTTTATGAAAAACCTCTAGCTTCCACCACAAATTTTCTCTTGTTGAGATTGATCCTTCTAGCATGCAAGCTGTCAGGGATGCTAGCTAAGCTGCGTGCAGCTGAATTGTGTTTTTTAACATTCTGTTTTCTATGTTGTGCATTTTCTGGAGTTAAACAGCATATCAAAAACTGAAGTTGGGCTAAATGGTTTTGAGCACATTACAAGTAATTCTCAATGTTTAGCTGAATGCATCAATCTTTTAATTAAGAAACTAATTAACATTCATGTCACTCATTGGAAGAATGCACGGGTGCTTCTTATTGACTTATGGAAACAGTCAGATTGTTTTAGTGAATCAGAAATAGAACTTCATGCACATTACACCAGCGGTTTAATATATGAAAGCCATAATTAATTAACTGTATTAATGTGGTTTATGTAAGTTCCTTGCGTATTTTATGTCTTTTGAAATTTATTACTATCATTTATATTTATGTCTTATAGTATGAAGTATTTGTTAACATTTCATAAACTTCTGGACTGAAACAAAGTAACAGCTGATTGATTTAACCTTGGTATGTCACTGTGGCCAGTAAAGGTGGCAGGTGTTAGTTAATGCATGCTTAAGTTATGTCAGACTTAGGAGATGAAAAATTGTTCTTTGAGTACTTGAGAGCATTGGCTTTTTTAGTCCTCAAGGGATGTAATGGATTTGAGTAATGAAGGTTTCCAGTGGTCAAGAGCTTATTCTGTGCAAGAGAAGTAATCTTGATCTCTACCTAATTCTAACCAATAATGATAAATTAAAAGAGAATAGCTGTAGTGGAAATACTGTTCAGTGCCTGCTTCCTGATCTCCAGGGTGAAACTGATCTTCCTGGCCAGAATTTGAGCATAATAAACCATCAGTGACAGCCTGTGCTGTTTGAACATCATGGTTTTTTTTAGGGGAATGCAGAAGCTATTCTGAATTAACTCATATTCAGGAGTCTTAAGTTTAGCATGGGTATGGACTGTTGTTCCAGTAATACTTTATTACTGAATAGCTGGCCTTTGAGGTGTATTTCTAGACAGAGTAAACAAGTAGACTTCTTGGTGATCTGCTTATTTCTGTACTTTGAAAGAAGGGATGTTCAAGAGTTAGAATTTCATAGTGACTACCATGGAAAAAGTTATAATGCAGTGTCAAATGGTAAGTAATGATTGGGGAGGGTTTATTCTGCCTTCAGTTAAAAGCTCAAGATCTAGATCTCTTCGTAATATATTCAATAGTGCATTTCTGGAAAGTGGTTATAAATTCCTCCTCTCCCACCCAGTTATTAGAAATTGGGGATTGTTAGTCACTATCATCTTGCTGCCTTATCAGCTGATATGGAAAGTTACAAATAATTTTTCTCTTTATCTTTACATGTAGGAAGACGTGGGTCTTGCAGGACAAAGTGCCTCCAGTGGCCAGTATTTTCCAAGTTTTACTATTTGCTCTCTTCCAGACTATGTCTAAGTTGACAGCAAAATCTTTGATATATTCGTCGAGGAGAACCTTTATTAGTATTACAGATAACATTAGAGTAGAAAATTATATATTATGCAGTACAGATGGTACTCATATTAACGCATGGCGCTATGAGAATTGCAGGTTTTGAAAGTTAGTAACGTTTTTTACTTAATTCAGCTTGTGATCCACTATAACTGCTGATCTTTCTCTGTTGACTCACTGCTTTCCTGGTTATTCTCCATCTTGCCTTTATATTTTTGAATTCTCCCGAGTATACCACCATACACTTTCCTTTACCAAAATCTACCTTGTGGATTTTTAGATCATATCTTCAATTTGTGAAAATAATTTTGTATGCTAATCTTGTCACCAAGATTTTCTGCTTTCTTAGTTCAGTATTATCAGATCTTTTTTTGAAAATACCCTTACTTTTGCATTCCTTTTAAGTGAAAGTGTTAACTAGAAGCAGAAGGGGTTTGAACAAACCGCATCCATGTTGGATTCAGATGGCATCCCACTGGAAATGCTCTCAGTGAACTGTTCACTCAGCCTCTGAGAACAGATTAGTTTTGACTGTTGTACACATAACATATAGATGAAGCATGTCTGTATAGTTTTCTTTTGAGAATGTTTGGTGTGACATATCAAGCACTAAAGCAAAGGTGTATCATAATATACTGCTTCCCTTTCACCACATCTCAAGTGACCCTGTCAAGGAAGGTTTCTTGAGAACAAATACAATTTTTGTCACAGCTTCAAATTCACTTTGGATTAAGACACTAAAGATTTTCCAGCATATTTATCCCGATAAGCCTGGGGCGTTGCTAGCAGTGTACTGTTTCAAAAGTCTGCAAACACAAGGAGCTATGTTTTTGTGCCAGCAGATCTTATTTTTCCCCAATGTTTCATTTTGTGGATGGCAAAAACTAATTCAGAGGACTCTTTCCACCATCTTAAAGGATTAATGCATTAAGCCTCTTTCTCTAGCCTTTTCTAAACTTGTGCAGTTAAAAGCAAACATATGCTAATAAATACACTAGTATCTTCTCTTGTGGCTTACTGCATGTACAAGGAAAGTGGATTGGACTGTTCTAGATATTAAACAGCCACCAGGTTTTTCTATGGTAGCATAGTTTAGAAACTTTGATTGCTATCAATATTAGAGTTTTGACAAGTACATTGTTTTATTTTGTTCCAGCAACCTAAAGAGCTACTCACTTCTCTCTCTCTTTCTTAGGGACCTTTTGTGTGCAAGTAGATCATGTGAGTCCTAATAGGTCACAGCGAATAAATAGCTCAGCTGAAATCACTGTGCTCAGAGTATAAAAAAGGCTTTGTTCTGCTGGGCACAATGGAGCCAACAAGGAACAGTAGGAGGGTGATGCTAAATGCTCTCTCCGTGGATTTTATTAAATACTAATGTGCAGTGGACTGCCAGGGAGACTTGACAGTTGCACTACATTTATCTGTCCTTGTTAGTCTCCCAAAAAGAGCATAATGATCACCTTGTCGGCTGATGTTTTTGCCATCCATGTGAAGTGTGTTAACAGAGAGAAATGATGTGTAAATATTCAAAAGCTGGTACACCTCTTGGACTGTAAATGCACTGTACTAATCTCTTACTCAGTTTCTCCCTTTCCAAGGAGACTTTCAAGCAGAACTCTGTCATCACAAAGTAAATTATTTTACCGTGTGAAAAATATAAACTGACATCATTCCAGGTTGTCCACCTTCTTTTGGAGTATGTTTTCTACCAAAATGCTTTTTTTTTTTTTTTTTTTTTTTGTGGTAGTACTTGAAGCTTCTGTTGGAAAAACATTGGGAGGCTAGTCCCTTCAAAATTATGTTTTTGTAAAAAAAATATTTTTCTACAGTTTTTTGAACTTTAACTTTTCTTAAATTACAAATGTGCTGCTTATATTCTTTCATTACCATAGGCCTTTCACTAGGTAGGGTTATTTCATCCAGGCCATTTTTTTTGTGAGGCAGTAACCAGATTGGGTGACAGTGATTGACAGGTATTGCTTCACCTGCTCTCTGTCCCTTAATTGTTGACAACCATGGGCAAATTATACATATTTTAATTGCAGTTTATTTGTTGTGGAAAATTTTGGGGGACTGCATGGAATTGTCCACAGGGTAAATTCAGCCTGTGAGAGCGCTTTCCCCTAGGCCTCAGACTCAGTGGATCACTGGAAACCTTGCTGAAGAAATTAGTACGAAGACCAAACAAGTTTTTTTTGTTGCAGCTTTACCAAATAGCTTAGAAAATTGGAAGAATTTCTTCTCTGTTCCTTACAAGTAGCTGATGGATGGAGGAGAGGGGGAGAAGGTGAAATGGAGGAACGGAAGACACATCTTTTCCTGTTCAGACAAGAAACAGGAGCAGGAAAGAGATTCCTTTGTCAGTATGCAGACCAGAGGAAAGGAGGAGCTCAGGGAAAGCAAGTTCACAAGAAGGAAGTTGCTTATGCCGAATGTCAGTTCTGTAATAGGGCTCTTCTGTATTGACTGGCTCAGTGCAATTTCAGCATTGTTTTGTGGTTCTGTACTTTCAGCTGTGCAGAACACATTGCAGAGTTACGTTTTCTTTCCATGGGTTTCTGTTGCATACTATGATAATTTAAAATAACAATAGGGTTTTGTGCAGTCTCTGGAATTCTACTTAATAATGGTAGAATTTGTTATTTTTGAAGAACAGGGCCATTTTATAAATACATGCTCTAGAAATATGACTCTGCCATGTTGTTTAACATACTTTAAAAAAAGAAGTTGAAAGCATAAATGTGTATTGTATTATGTAATAGGCCTGCAGCTGACGTGGGAATTAGTATTCTGATCTCTTAAACGTATCAGAATGGAATGTAAAGGTACCTTCCTTCTATTTATAAGATAAGATTTCTGTCAGTACTTGTTACCTTAAGATAAGTCAGGAGATACTTAGTGGAAGACAAGATTGTGTGTTAAAGCTAATTACTATCTAATGTAATGTTGCTGCAGATGTCTTTAGTGAACAGAATCTCTGGTTCCCTGACTTACCAGTCACAATAGAAAGTGATTTCCATCAGTCTCACGTTTCTGCATCAGAAGTATCATCCTTGAAAAAATATATAAATAATAATTATGAGTTAGTTTAGTGCTTGTGAATCCTGGGAAGTGAAGGAAATGATGCAATATGGATAAGCTGTGTAGCGTTAGGTTTACTTTTCTGACAAGGTACCTTCCTTCTATTTATAAGATAAGATTTCTGTCAGTACTTGTTACCTTAAGATAAGTCAGGAGATACTTAGTGGAAGACAAGATTGTGTGTTAAAGCTAATTACTATCTAATGTAATGTTGCTGCAGATGTCTTTAGTGAACAGAATCTCTGGTTCCCTGACTTACCAGTCACAATAGAAAGTGATTTCCATCAGTCTCACGTTTCTGCATCAGAAGTATCATCCTTGAAAAAATATATAAATAATAATTATGAGTTAGTTTAGTGCTTGTGAATCCTGGGAAGTGAAGGAAATGATGCAATATGGATAAGCTGTGTAGCGTTAGGTTTTCCTTTTCTGACCCGCCGGTTCTTTTTACTCCTGCGTGCAGAAAACTACCTGGAGGGGGCGACAGGGCAGTTCTGCAGCAGTGACATCTTGAACCTTGCACATAGGGCTTACTCGAACAGTTCAGATTAGAGGTATTTTTTAAACGTAGATTTGCTGCATACTTGAGAAGTTCCATGATTGGTTATCCACCACCTCAGATGGACAGTCCATCCTTTGATTATTACTAATTGTTATTGTAGTGCTGGTGGTCCAAGGATATGAGAGGCAAGGTATACGGGGAGAAGTAATATAGGGTATTATATGGGGAGAAGTGATTTGTTCTATTAAGCCAACTGATTGAGATATTTAGAAAAAGCATAAGAGCTTCTGGCATACAGCCATCATCCTGTATTCTTCATGAGAAAGAGGATTGGTGTGATAAAAATCTTGGCATTATTTCTCCCTGTTCCTCCCTGCAAATTTTATCAGTTTAGTTAGCGAAGGCTCTGTCCCTAAAAATCTCTTCTTTTGATTTACTTTAACATTGGATATATCTGTATGTCATGATACAGTGTTGTACAAAGCCTTTGTGTACCCATAGTTGTTCTAAATTGTAGGCCTTCTTTCCATGCATGAAATTTTGATGCTGTCTGGTCAAGGGGCTACCAGTATTTCAATTTAATCTTTTTCCCTTTGTATTTATATTTTTTTATTGACATGTAAAAATCCTTTGGAGAGTTTTGATCTTTGACAGTCTGATTCTGTTCTGGTCTGATTCTGTTCAGATTAGTGGGACTTTTGCTTTTGAATTCTTTGGCAACATGATTAGGATCTAAGGGCAATTTGCAATCATACCATAAAGTGAAAAGTTCGTTTTTCATACTCCTTTCACATTGTTTCTTAAATGCTTCCTTAAGGCTTTATCCTTATATCAATTGTTTTATTCTGGAGACTTCTACAATTGTTTCCTCAGCTGTGTACAGTGTAACTGTTTTTTAGTTTTGGTACTCTTATCTATTAATCTGAAACCTATTAAAAAAAAAAAAAACAGAAGTCTTGTAGAATGTATTTATCCAGGAAACGAGGTGGTTAAGGGTGCTTTGAAATACATGCATGCTAAGCGTGTCACCGTCATACTGACTTTAGGAAGTAGCGCCATATATATAATCATAGGTATAGCTAAATATGTAGTTATATTTGCCTGATATTCTTACAGTTTTCTCATGCATTTCATAGGCTTTGAAGTTGTGACTCATGGGGTTTTTGGTTTTGTTTTTTTTTTTTTTTTTTAACTGCTAAACTGGGATATAAACTTGTAATAAATAGTCACAATGCAGAATAAAGGTTTATAAATAAGGGAGGGAGAATAAATTCTCATCTCTTAAAAGGCCCCGTCTTCCAGTGTTTAAAAAGAATCCTTATTTCAGGATTGCATTTAACTTTCACCATGAGAACACACTCCCTTATCTATGTTTTTTAATTTTTGTTACTGATTAATTTATAGCCTTATAGTTTTAGTTATAGCCCTTATGAAAGCATAGGGACAAAGGTGTCACAGCAAAACTGAACTATAGGTTTTATTGTAATTTTTCAGCTCATAAATAAATAGTTGAAATTTTTTTTGTAGATAGGAATGTATATATTTTAAATATCTTTCTCTGGCAGTTATCAATATAGTTTCTAATTATCTAATGAACGAGTATGAAAACATCTGCATCTTACTTCTACTGAGGATAGTAAAACATTATTCTTTCTTTTTACAGGTAAGATAGTCTGACTGGGCAAGATTGTTTCCTACCTGGGCCTAGAGCTCAGGTTTTTTTGTGTCCTAATTTACAAAAATTGGAAAGGCTCTTTTTAAGTTTAGAGTCTAATCTCAGTATTTCAGTGTAAGGAATTCTGAAAAATAAGATCTGTATTTTTGTTTTTTAGGGTACCCTTGAAAGTGGAACAAGCAAACAATGCTCGTGATGCCTTGGCTAAAACGGTTTATAGTCATCTGTTTGACCATGTAGTGAACCGGGTAAACCAGTGTTTTCCATTTGAGACTTCTTCTTTCTTCATTGGAGTTCTAGATATAGCTGGTTTTGGTAAGTATACTTAAGAAAAATAATAAATTTTCTATTAATCTATTATTGCCACCAAAGATTCAATGATAAATTCTGTAATGGAGAGTGGGAGGGTTTTCTTTTTGGTCGTGGTGGGTGGGACGGCTTACAAAGGCTTAAGAAGATATCAAGAGAGCAGATAAAGCCTCATTTTCCTGAGATACAAGGAGAGGAGGTCTAGAGCTTCTCCTGATGACCTAATAACACTAACAAGTGTTAGTGTGAAACTAGGCACCTTTGTAATGGTTTCAGATTCCTGTAGTGTCTACATAGACGCAGGTTTTGAAAGACTCAAAGTTTGGAATGGAATCTTACTGTGGCCACCCAGTAAAATTAAGAAAGATATGCATGTGCATGCTGTTTTCCCATTCAATCCTGAGAAGATCACTGCATACTGACAGACAGGCAAATGAAGTCTCTGAATTAAGATAATGTTTCCTGGAGGCTGGGTAGTTCTGTTAGAGTTGGACTTTGGGCTCCTGGTTGCTCCCTGGAAGTGGTGGGCGTTGATGGTTCCCGTAAAGCTTTCGTCCTGTTTGGCTCCCTGAGATTCAGAACAAGGCATGTTTTCTGGTGTGCTCTTGCCCTGCGAAGGTGGTCCAAGAACAGTGAAAAAGGGAACCTTTGGTTTTCAGGTCTTTAGAGCTGTGATATCCTGTGCCAGCCTGTTGTAACATAGATGCATGAGGATGTATTGGTGCAGTTTCACTGTATGGCAGCATCTTGCTTTGGTTTGCTGCCAGATATAATTGTCTGTTATTTGTCCTAGAAATATTGTCTGCCACAGTATTTTTATATCTGTATTATGTGCAACTTGAAAATCTGTAAAAGGTTTTATTTTACTGAAAGAAACAGATATGGATCTGAACACATCTTTAAATATTAGCACGGTGAAGCTTTTCTTAGTTACTATGTAATATAAATTCTTGGAAAACTGGTTTATCATAGAAGTTCAACTTCTGTTTTTCAGAATACTTCGAACACAACAGTTTTGAACAATTCTGTATTAACTACTGTAATGAAAAACTGCAGCAGTTTTTTAATGAAAGGATTCTGAAAGAGGTATGTTAATATTTAATGTTATATTTGAGGATTTATTTTTTTAGCAAAGAGATACTTAAAGTAGCACTGCTTTAAATAAGATTGCACATTATGCTTAGATTAAAAAAAATTCAGTTGACAAACTGTTTTCCTACTGTGACATCTAGTTGTGCCAGAAAAGAATATGGCTTTTTGAAAACCAACCCATCTTTTTTCATCGTCTTTTTTACCATTCATTAAAATGAGACATCCAGATACTGGACAATATCTCATACCTAATGGGAGTATCTAAGTGCATGGGCATATCATTAAGGAGGTGAAGTTAGAATATATTAAGCTGTGGAAGGAAATTATAAAAATTGTGTTGATTCATGGTGTATTTAAAAATGTCTTCATGTTTATTTAAAAAACATTTTTGGTGGGTAAAAAAAATATATGGTGAGTGGTGTTTTCTCTTTTCAGTTACTTTTTTTTTTTTTTAGGAACAAGAACTTTACCAAAAAGAAGGCCTGGGGGTTAATGAAGTGCGCTATGTAGATAATCAGGACTGTATAGGTATGTACTTCTTGAAATGTCAAGCTATTCATTAGCGTCATGGAGGAAAAAAGCTTCAAGCAGAAGAGGCAAAATATGCGTAGCACTAGTAATTTTATGCTTTTAATGACTGTTGCAACCTTGTGAATTCTTCCAGCTTTGTATAACATTCCAGTTCTGGTTGGTAATAGAGCCATGTTGTCCTACAGTGTGTAATAACTGCAGCTGGGACTTGTGAATTTCTTGTGCATTTTCCTAGAAAACTAATTAGAACACCTAGATAGGGTAAATAAAATGAAAAGGGTGTGAGGGTGTCTGGGGAAAAATATTCCATGAATTGAAAAAATCCCATCTCATTTCCCCCCACCTTTTTTGAGCCAGTGAGCAAAGAAACAAAATGAACTATAGGCAACAGGCTGTAGATGTTACTGCTGCTTTTAGGCTTCCACAGACTGATACATACCAAAGGCTTAAGATGATGATGTGATTTTGTTTTGGCTTTTTTTTTTTTTCCCTCCGCGTTCAACTTGTGTTCTCCAAATTGGTGTATTCATTTTGCTTTTGCATTTACAGTAATTTGCTTATGGTAACTAGTCAGTCCTGGCTGAGCAGAGTGTGACAGAATTTAACATCTGTTGCAAAATGTCTGGTTCTTCTGAGTTTCTGTAGCTCTGCTGAAGAAGTTTTCACTTTGGCAGATAGGACTGTACAGTCACTAACTCTGACTTAACTAAAGGCAACTCTTGTCGAGCAAACCTCTTAGCCATCTTGTGAAAAAGCAACAGGAAGGTATTTGGAGGAGGGAAAAAAAGCATAGCAACAGGAAATACATGACTTGTATGAATACAAATCTTATCTTTTCTAGTGGTTTAATTATGTGTTTAATAATGTGCCTATGAGCCTGACGCTGTTCCCAAAAATGTTGTTACAGTTTAGAGACTGTCATGTTTCTATAAAAAGGGTTGCTTCTGCCCCCAGTGCGTGTTTTTTTTATTTTCTATTTTTGAAACGTATGTCAGGGTCAAAAGGGGTTCCCTGGTGCCTATTGGAAGAAAAGGTCTCTCTCTGACTCATAGGGGGAACATGGGTCAGGTTGATGGAGATTGTTGCCAAGTTGTTGCCTTTTCATGCCGTAGAAGAGGTTTGGGCAGCTTCCCTAACGGTACAAGTAGAAGTCCCTCAGTCATGACCCCTTTTACTATTCCAACCAACATATGACACCCCACCACAGATTTGACACATTTCTTCATTTTATGAGTTATTCTTAGATAAGTTAATAAAATTATAGCTTAGTTAAACCACAGCACGTGTGCCTCTTCTCTGTTCTTGCATAGTCAGGAGAAAAGGGGTTTCTTTTGAAAGTGAGTGAGAAAAATAATGTTGGTTTCTGTTGAAATACAATTTTGTTTAAGGTGTTGGACCAGGCCAGTGACAGCAGTGAACATGTAGAAATATTAACTGTCACAAAAGAGAGGGATATTATATTGACATGGACAATTTTTAACTCTATGGAAGAATCTTAGAAACAGTCATTAGTATGTTAGAATGTTTTGATGGAATGGTAGTCATCTCTGTAGCTAAATTAGCTTATTCAGATTTTATAAGCATAAATTCTTTGGATCGGGGCTCTCTGTGCTTTATATATAGCCTCATACCATTTACGATCTGTAGTAAGAGTTCATAGGCATTGCTGCACTACAAGCATTAGTCATTTCTTCCTTTACACAGAAGAAAAAGTAGGTAGTTAAAATTCCTCTTACAAGAACAGTTTCGTAGATAAAACAAGAAAGTTTTAAAAGCTGCAAAATTCTTGTGTCTAATAGTTTCAAGAGCATGAATTTCTATGTCAGCTTTCAAGGGCTTTTGTATATGTATGTGAAAGGTCAAGGGAATACACTTGTAAAAAGTTGTGAAACTACCACTGTATGCTCAAGTCTGATCTGCTTTTCTTAAAACAAATGCATTTCATTTTTCTCCTTGGATCCTGTTGTGAATGAAGTATGTGCCTTTTCATGCTTTTAGTTTTGACGTGGTGAAACATGGATGAAAAGCTTTAAAAAAAAACCCCCAACAATATAAGCAATTATCCCATAAAGACCTATGGTTGTACCACAGAAACATTTAGGCACTTTGTGGGAATTAGATGATTAAATTCAACTTGAGACCCAGGGTAAAAATGAAACAATCCATGCCTGATCTTTTTTCCCTCGTATTCCTTGTGTTAGAGTTAGAACTTGGTAAGTATAGGATATCGATAAAATCAACAATTCAGATACGTAGAATTAATTTGCAGTGACATTTTGTATTTTGTGTTAACAGTTTTCCTTAGATACTGTTGTACAGAATCAGATCAGTAGCATTTTAAACTTGTTGTGTTCAGTTCTGATGTTATATATTCAATTTTTGTAAACATATTTTGTTTTATTAATAGATTTGATTGAAGCAAAATTAATAGGTGTACTGGATATTTTGGATGAAGAAAATCGTCTTCCCCAACCAAGCGACCAGCATTTTACTTCAGTTGTGCACCAAAAACACAAGGACCATTTCAGACTCTCTGTAGGTTTATTTTTGCTGTCTGTCTTGTTTTAATAAAACAGTTCTTGGAACAGTTGACAGTAACACTTCAATTTAATGAAAACCTTTCCTAAGAAATCTCATACCGCACCAGTCTGCATAATCCATATTCTTTTGTTAAGGACAAGTTTGGTTATTAGGTTTGTTGAAAAGTTCACTGAAGGCTTAAGTCTTCTATAGCAATTCTAATATCCTGCTGAAACTAAAGCCATGTTCTTCACTTACCTTTGAAGTTTGTTAACACGTAATGCATGAAAAGGAAATAGAAACACATTTGAATTTAGATTATTTATATCGGATGTTGGTAAGTATAGGATATCGATAAAATCAACAATTCAGATACGTAGAATTAATTTGCAGTGACATTTTGTATTTTGTGTTAACAGTTTTCCTTAGATACTGTTGTACAGAATCAGATCAGTAGCATTTTAAACTTGTAATGTTCAGTTCTGATATGAGGTTATATATTCAATTTTTGTAAACATACTTTGTTTTATTAATAGATTTGATTGAAGCAAAATTAATAGGTGTACTGGATATTTTGGATGAAGAAAATCGTCTTCCCCAACCAAGCGACCAGCATTTTACTTCAGTTGTGCACCAAAAACACAAGGACCATTTCAGACTCTCTGTAGGTTTATTTTTGCTGTCTGTCTTGTTTTAATAAAACAGTTCTTGGAACAGTTGACAGTAACACTTCAATTTAATGAAAACCTTTCCTAAGAAATCTCATACCGCACCAGTCTGCATAATCCATATTCTTTTGTTAAGGACAAGTTTGGTTATTAGGTTTGTTGAAAAGTTCACTGAAGGCTTAAGTCTTCTATAGCAATTCTAATATCCTGCTGAAACTAAAGCCATGTTCTTCACTTACCTTTGAAGTTTGTTAACACGTAATGCATGAAAAGGAAATAGAAACACATTTGAATTTAGATTATTTCATATCGGATGAGCTATTTTGTTGTTCCTTTCAAAAATTGCTTGCTTTGGAGAATATCTGACTCACGTGGAGTGTCTAGCTAGCACTTCAGAGATGAAAATAGGGAACACACAAGGAAAACCTTTTTGTTGTTGTTAATTCTTTAATATACCGCACTCTGTGGAAGATTAATGCAAATTATTGCAATTTATGGACCTGACTTCTGTTGAAATGAAAAAAAAAAAAAGTTCCCTGCTGAAAAAATGCACGCAAAGGGAGCCAAACAAAATTGTCATCATTTACCTTTCTTTAAGTTTCCACTTAATCTTGCTTAACTTCATGGCTGTGCAATGAAACATTTTTGTCGGTATGTGTACGATCAACTAGGTAGTTGCCTTTTAAAATATACCATCTAAAAACATATTTTAAACTTCTATCTAATCCTATTCATATGACAAGGCTATTCATCAGCTGTGGAATGAATGGTATAGAAATTGTTGATTAAAGGCAAAAAGAAAATCAACTAGCTGGTGTTAGCTACCCTGGTGACTTTTATTTTGAATATCTAAGGGTGTGAATGAGAATGAAAATACGTTTTTGGAATATCTTGGTTTGAACGGGAATGGCAGTGGTCATCACATTTGTACTGCAGGAAATGTCATTTTTAACACCTAGTGCTCCTGGGCAGAATCATGGTGATGTTTTACAAATAAACGTTTCCTCACTCTCCAGTGTAATTCTTCTTTGTAATTCAACTTTTTAATTCCAGATTCCTAGAAAGTCTAAACTGGCTGTTCACAGAAATATCAGAGATGATGAAGGCTTTATTATCCGACATTTTGCAGGAGCAGTATGCTATGAGACGGTAATTTTACTTACGCGAAACTATTTTTGTTATGCTTTGTAGTACTTTTGTATTTTTCAGTGTATATAGGTTAAATAACAAAATTTCCTTTCATCAGAAGAGAAATTCAAAAGTTGATATGTCTTAGCTTTGAAACTAATTTTGTGCATATGTGACAGAATTGACAGTTTCCTTTAACTTCTCAGATTACAGACTGTTTTGGTGACATATTTTGTGTAAGAGTTTGTTATAAATCTATAGGTAATGGTGTCAATATTAAATAGATTGATTCATGATCTACTGCAAATCTTACATCAACAGACATTTGCATCTTGGGGAGAGGAATATACTATGTGATATAAAAGTATTGTCAGACTTAAGCATGCTTCCAAAAAGTTACTCTTATCCTTGTATGCAATCACTGTTTATGTTATATTAAAAGTCACAGTTTATACTTTTTGTTTTTCTACTGGCAATAGAATCATTCATGTAAGAGTACGAAATACCTGAAATTGCTACCCTCAAAATACATTCCAGATTCTTGTACTTTTTTGACTATTCATCATACAAAAACATTGAAACACCTGAAGCTAATATCTAAAACCTTTTTTTTTTTTTTTTTTTTTAATAAGAGTTTAGGATAAACAAAAGATCAATAATGCTTTGTTGTTCTGGTCTGTAACTCCGGTGTGTAAGAGGGAAGCTACTTCCAAAGATGCTTTTTTGTCATTTGAAAATGCGTACTTTAAGGGCTTGTTCTTATTTACTTCAAAATGCTCTAAGAAGGATAATGATTGCTGTGCTGTTTTGAAGTAGGCACATTCTGTAGGTCATTTTACAAATAAGAAAATTGAAGCCTGTGTGTTACCTACCTGATTTTTTTGAGGTCACTCAATGAGTCAATATCAAAATAATAAATAAAATTGGAACACATGTGTTCCAAGTGCTCTGTGTTTAACTGTGTACCTCATCATGATATGTTAATAATACCTTAGAGTGTCTTCAGGAACAGAGGAGCCAGATATGAACACGTAAGCTCTGCTGTCAGAGCTAATCAGATATGAGGTAGCTTTGGTCCAGAAGCTATGCTAATATGCTTGACTTAATTTGTTCCCTCCCTCAGAGGGACTTACTTAGCTTGGGCCTTAAAACTTTTGGACTATAGCTGCCTTGTACCTCACCTGTTACTTCTTTCTCTTTCTCTGTACTTGTGGCAGTTCTCACTATCTGATTTGTGGTGAGGGCGCTCCTCTGGCTGCATTCATATTCCAGTCTTGTGTTTTCATAGTCCAAGGGAATTTTGGAGGCCTGTGTTTGTCCTTTGATTCTCCATCACCATTCTCATCCCTTTATGGGATATCTGGCAAATCCATATTTTCTTCAAATTAGTCTTGGCCTCTTCTGTTCATAAATATCAAAGTCACTATTAAAGTTGCACCAAAAGCTATTGAGAATTTTGTTAGTGTGAAATTGGATACTAGTGTCTTGATCTCTGAATTTCAGTGTAATGTATTGTTCTTAACTTCTAAAAGTTAGTGAGCCAATTTAAATAAGCCAGAGAGGTAAGGTTTGTAGGAAGGGACAATATCTTTTATTAAATCACCTGCTCTTAAATAGTCATAGTACTACTAAAATAACCATTTTACATTTTATTTTCCAAACTGTGTAGATGCACCGATTAAAGCGTGCATGTTAATTCCCATTTCACAACAGATCTTAAGTGGTATTACAAACAGTGAAGAATTAAGCTTCTCAAAACTCCCAAGTGATGATGTGCTGAGTGCTGGAAATGGAAACAAGGAGGATAATCATTGATGAAAACACAACTGATCTTTAAAAGGCACTAAACCTTACCTTGGGTTTCATGATTCCAACATCCATCAAATTTAAGAATTGTCTTTTCTCTCTGTCATTAGTGTTTTGTGTGTCCAGTTGAAAAGTTGTTTGAAATAATGTATGAATATTTACACCACATATTCTTGCTGATTTTTGAGTTAGAGTATATAACATTGTTTTCTTTAATTTTCTTTAAGACTTAAGTAACTGGGGCAGTTAAACAAATGTACTATTATTTTTTGGGTTGTCTTTTCAGATGCAGTTTGTGGAAAAAAACAATGATGCTTTGCACATGTCCCTTGAATCTCTTATATGTGAATCCAAGGACAAGTTTGTTCGACAACTATTTGAATCTAACTCTAACAACAACAAGGATCCCAAACAAAAAGCTGGGAAACTTAGTTTCATCAGTGTGGGAAACAAATTCAAGGTAACATAATATAGCAAAGATTCTTATCTTCTTGTAATATATGCCACTTTTAAGTTACTTGGAATAAGTAGAACATAAGGTTGGGAGAACTAGTGGTAACTTGAGATTCATACAAAGAAAACTTTGTTAAATAAGACGTTTTTTCTATTGAATTGTAAGAAACCAGTATATTCAAGCTACATGCTATGTGTTTCTGTCAAAAAGATGTTTCATAATAGTCCTTACAGAGATTATACAGTAACTTTTAAGACAGAATTTTGCAAAGCCCCATGGAAGTCTTTATTCAAAAGGTTTAAAGTCTTGAGATCTAAATTTGGATTCTGTGGACTTGAAGGAGCTCTAAATGTGACAAAAGGTGTTCTTCTATACTATCTTAATTGTGCATTCTAGAAGATGTATCAATTTGCTACAGTTTGCTGTCCTCAAAATTCAATACCTAACCTAACCACTGTTTTTCCTCTTCTAAAATATAAAGACAGTCATGGCTTTCACAGAAAGATGTTCATTGTGCTGAATGTTTCCTTTCTCAATACCTGTATCTGATGCTTCTCCTCATTTTTCTCCTTTCTTCTGCTTGTTGTAAAGCTGACCTTCAAACCTTGTCTTCTCCAAATGTTATCTGCACCCTTTTCTCATTCAGCAGTTTTATTTTAGCTGGACTATTCCAGCTCAGGATGGCTAGAAAGAGAACTATAGGGGAATTAAGAGATGAAAAGCAGGCACAACCATGGGCTGCAGGTAAATTTTTCCATCTCATGGATTTTCTGTTGGTAGAGCTGCTGCAATTTCAGCAAGAGCTCTTCTCAACACATCTGGGCCAGATCCAATGAAGGATTTGTATGCCTTCAAGTCAAGTGCCGCAACATTTTTGGTATGCTACCTTACCTAGGGCACCTAAAACCCCACATCACGTTCCTAGCTAGACTCCTTATGCAGTCCCTGGGGAAAGCAGGTATCAGACAATCCAAAAACCTTTGTGTAGAGTGGGCCACTGCCGATAGAAGAGCGTTTCTGCATTTCTGTTCCATGTCAAGGTTAAGTGCTGAATCAGGACTGGAAGATAAATTCCTTCTTGCATAATCGTACCTTGTGGCTAGTGTTTAGAACTGTTCTCTAAAGAAGCAGGGGCTGAAGAACAGGAAGGATATGGTAGCATCACTTGCTTTTTGTATAGCAACAGTATTCTGCTTCAGGTCCATACTGTATTCAGTGGTTTATGTCTACTGTATTTGCCGTAGCGCCAAGTTATTGGTCAGTCTGGCAAAGGGGATTCTCCTTATACCCTTCTGGAGATGGGTTGCTATGTAGCCAGAAATAAAATTTTGATGAGGCCAGGAAGAGTAGGAGACAGAGCCTGACTTGTAAGGTAGGGGTTTTGGTATTTAACTGGGAATTGGGCAGCCTGCTCTCTTGAGTTTTGCTCTGACGAGTATTTCCTCCTCCTTCTAATATAGCAGTTGTAGAATTAAACTGTAGCAGTTGGTTTAATATAAAATGTGCGATCAGAAGGCAGACTGAAATTACATACAGATAAGCCATCTTCTGAGCAAACCTTGCAACCATGAGTCTTGTGTATGTGAAGCTAGGATCCATTGGTTTTTATAACTGCATTTTCAGAATGAAACCAACTGTGGGATCTTTGAGATAGCTTCCACTTTCTTCCATCTGGGTTTTCAATTCCTCTTAGATTTAGCACCCCACATCCAGTACGTGTGGACATGTGAATGATACCATTGTCGAAGGAGGACTGAAGTAAAAAGGGAGGCATTTTTAAAGTTAAACAGCAATTGAGTGGGGAACTTTTTGGATTGCCTTTTGGACTTTGGAGTTCACCTCTGCACCTAGAACGTGACGAAAGTCCTCTTTGGATCTGGCCCATCAATCTATAATTCTTTCAGTGTTTTCAAGTTTCATGGCATTTTGAATGTATGTGTTAATTCCAGTAATTCATTTAGTGTTACCTTCCCAGACACCATGTGTGCTGCTGATGAACACTAATAGCCTTGAAAATGTCACTTCAGATGACATCAAAATAAGTTCTATTATCTTAGTAGAAATTTCATCTCTTTAAGAATAAGAATTCTTAGTGCGTCAGTATGTAAGTCAGTCTCAAATTCTTCTAATTACATCAATTACTAGATGATGTTGCAGGGACTTATCTTTATGAAATCCTTCACACATCCCTTCCTTATAACTAATTAAAATTAATTCTTATAAATCTGTTGAGGAAATAATGATTAATTACTTCATCAGATCTACTCAAGAAACTTTGGGTTGATTTTACCTTACTACGGTAATGATGGATTAAATAGTGATAATGCAAAGAGCAGTAGTTTTAGCAATATGTTTTATTCATATGATCATTTCATTAGTGAAATTTACCTGAGAATGGCTCTGGCTTATTTCTTGTCAAATCACAGAGTATAAGGAAGGGGTATTTTTCCTCTAGCAGAAATGTATTTTGTTGATGGAAATTAGTCTGTCCCTTCCAAAATTTAAGCATTTCTAACTTAAGAAAACATAATTCAAGTAGAGATATAAAGAGTACGTGTAAGTGAGAACTGAGCAGGAGGTTATTAGTGTTTGTCATACCTCTTTTGGCACTCCTTCTCTCTTTCTAACCATATCCATGATAAGTTAAAAAAAAAACAGGCCAATTTTATCTCTGGAAGACTGGCAGCTGTAGGTGACGCATGTTGCCCATTCAAATCTAGTTTCTTGGATTCAAGGTAATTGGAAGATCTGGATAAAAAAAAAAATAGTCAAAAGTCAGATCCTTTCAATTTTGGTTCCAGTACAGAAAACGAGGAATATGTTAGGACATACAGAATTTTGTCTTACTTCAGTCTATATACTTAACACTTGCTAGTAAACTAGAAAGGCTGGCACAGCAGTAATCTATGTGGTAAAACAGACACGTCTGTAAAGTAAAAGTGTAGCTGTTTCCTGATGTGGTTCTGGAATATTTTAAGTCCCTAACAGTTACTTTCAGTAGCAACTGTAACTCATTTTCCCTGATAGTCTTAAGTCTCTGGTGATCCTGTAGACTTGCCCCCAGATAATCATAGGACTGTGGCCTTTTCTCATCACAGTATGTTGAAATCCAGCTTCAGTAAATGTGATTGTAAAATTGTAGTCTATTGTCATCAACAGAGAATTAAAAACTTGGAAGTTTGGAATTAAAAACAGATTATGCAGGTTCATTCACCTAAATGTTGATTTAGCTTCAAAAAAATGAAGAAAACTCTGAGCATATGTTTTCTGCGTTAATTATTTAACATACAAATATATGCTTGTTATAGATTAAATTTGGGCTTTCACAGATTTTCAGTGTTTGTTTTTTTTTTTTAATTATTGCTGATCAGTCTCATTTTCTTTATACTTTTATTACATAGGCATTATTTCCTTTCTTTTCCCAAATGGGCTTGCACTTTTTTTTTGATAACTATGTTGTAGTAACTAGTCCATACAGTATTGTTGTACAATTGAACACAAGCAATTTCCACAGGACCATTCATGCACACTTGCATGATTTTGTTAAAATTTGTGAACGTTTGATTTATCAATTGTCTGATTTACTAACAATAAACATGCATGCAATAATGCTATATCACTATTCTGTGTGTATATTTCTGTAGTTGTCATGGTAAGATTCTTGAAATACCTGTTTTCTTTTACAGACTCAGTTAAATTTGCTTCTTGAGAAGCTTCACAGTACTGTAAGTATATATACAGGTGCAGGTTCATAATTTTCTGACATAAGTCATAATTGATTATCTCAACAATACAGCTTACAATAAATGTGATAAGTAATTGCTGTAGAGTTTGCAGTTATATGGCACTTCTGAAACGTCTTGCTGTGCAGGTGATGATTGTTGAGTTACTTTAAAAAAACCCACCACCTTTTAAAAGGTTGTTGTAGAATGGAAGTTACACAATTTGAGTAAACAATATGAAATCTGTCTGTGCTGCAGTCGCCTTTTTTGTCACTTTTACCTCCCTCCATTCACTGGTTATCACTGATGACTAATTTGCAGAAGATTTAGAGATGTTCTTTAGAAGTAAGGCAGATGATCATAATTTATTATTAATTACTGTTTTCAGATTCCATAAAGCTGTTAAAAATAGTGTTTCATTTCACTTTTGTGATAGGCTGTAAATGCACAGATGGTCAAAGAACCTGATTCCCCTAATGAGTATTTGCTAATTTAGCTGATGTAATTTGATAGTTTGTGGAATTCTCCACATACCCTTTTTTTTTTTAGCACTTGTAGGAACACATTCTTGTTTCTCTTGGTCGCATGTTCTAACCAATTCTAGATATGAGGTTATGCTCTGTCAAAAAAGAAAAAGGGGGAAAAACATGGGAAACAAATGGGACAGGTGCTGAAGTGTAGCCGACATTACGATTTTACTGTACTTATGAGGCTGGTCTGAAAGGAAGATGGTCTTTTTCACACAGAACACTCTGGAACTGAGACCCAGTCCAGGGAAAAAGTATGTGGCCAGCCTTGCTGTACTCTGAGTTTAGCTAACCCATGACTAAGGATGTATTGTTAACATAGAGCTCCCTTGGCAGGTGCTCTCTTGCTCTCAGCTGAGAGATGGAAAAAGAGAGAAGACACTGCAAACCAGGAGTAATATTATGTTTTCTCAGTCCCAATTTTGTTTTAGTATATAAGGTAGGTTGTCGTTAGCAGCCACCTGTTATAGGAAGATCTGAATAATTGGATGGTGTTTTGCAAAAATGTCATCCTTAATGAATGTGAAACGATCAGAGAAAGCAGTGGTCAAAATTGTAGAGATAGCGCACACAAGTGATAAGAGAGGAGCAGACTGGAACAACATGGGGGAAGGGAGAGTGAAGCCATGAGCCAAAAGAAACTGTAAAAAGTAAAAGTTAGAAGAAAGGAAGGTCAAGTTCATCTGGCATGATTCCATTGTCAGGAGGCTGGTAGCATGTTCACTAATGTGAACTCTGGAGGACTTTAGGTCCTCCACATCATTTAGGTGATGTGACTGTAGAAGATAATGAGGGTAGTAGAATCTAGACAGCTAAATCCTAATTAGATTGTACTAATGTTAAAAAGAACAGTTGAGTGAAAACTCAAAAGTTGAGGATCCAATTAATAGCTTGAGCATTGAGATCAGTTACATCGGGACCAAGGCTAGAGTGCAAAACTGATATATGAGAGAAGAATGTCAGCATTTCTCTTTTAGAATACTATTATTTTATTTTTTATCTTTTTTCCTCCACCCATAATTCTTAAATGACTTAACTGTTATTTCAGGAGGTTTAAAAATGTGTAGATTCTGCTAACTTCTTGTTCTGGTAATAGGGGTCTAGCTTTATTCGCTGTATCAAACCTAATTTAAAGATGACAAATCACCATTTTGAAGGAGGACAGATCCTCTCTCAGCTTCAGTGTTCAGGTAACGTATATGTCTGATATTTTTCCCTCTGTTTATTACTTTGGGCACTATAGATTGACCTAAGTTTGAAATATATGAGATGGAAGCAGTATTTCCTTGCTTGAACTGTTGCTTTCTAGAAGGTAGCTTATTTATGCCTTACGAACAGTTATTTAGATTCTTGGTAACTTAGCTCTCATTTTTGTCAAAAAAACCCTAGAAATAATTAATCTGAACAGCCATAAGGTCTCTTCTTCGCGAGAAGAGTTGATGTAATTTCTGTCAACTGTTTTTCCATTGATTATAATGAGTGTTCAGACACCAGGTGCATATGTAAGAAGCCATGTAGCCATATATTGGTACATAAATTTAGATTTCCTGACCTGGAGCTAAATCCCATCTCTCTGTGTTGCCCACAATGTTAATAGGGCAGCAGTTCAGAACAATACAATTCCTTTAAATTATTGTGGCAGTTGAAGTGTTAAACTCCTGTGTGCATTTAGAGGCAGTCAGTATTAGCTGAGATATCTAATAATTGAAACACCTGTTTTCTTTGATTTTATAGATACTATGGTAGAGTTGAATAGTCTTGTTTTACTTTTTCAAAATTTCTTTATACCACTGTTAATTTGATTTGGAGCTGAACTTCCAACAAGGGCACTTGAGCATAGTCTTTCCTGTTGCTTTATATACTACAGATTGCGATGCTGCATTTTCATTATTCTTGAAATGCTAGGCACTTTGCAATTTTACAGCTTTATTTTAAACAATATTAGCAGTTTTGCTCATGCCCCACTGAACAGCAGAAGAAACTGCTCGCTTGGGAATTAGAGTGCTAGTATTGTTGTTCTTCATAGGGTGTCTGTTCATGAAAGTACTTCCATATTTATTTTTTTCCCCTTTTCTGTATTTTTGTACTTTCAGTAGCTTGTGCTTAATTTTTTCTCTTTTTGAAGTCAAGGTACTTCGAGGTTCTGCAGCTGATGTTTTGACAAGTCCACATGTTTAACGTGTCATGTTATTGCCACACAAACTTAACAACTTTTCAGCAATTAGAATTCCATTAACTTCATTAGCAGTAGGTTTCTTCAGGTTAACAGCATTTGGCATGTCAGAGAGGAAAAAATAACAAATTATACACCCCCCATCCCCCCCCACCCCCAGTAATTGCAATGTTTTACAGTAGTCTTACAAGTTCACTTTTCCATATGTGCTTACTTTAGTAACAGTAAATGGAGCTTAATCTAGTAAAACAAAGTTATAATATGTAACATTAAAAAAGCAAGATGTAATGCTATGAAATCTTTTTTGAAAAAGAAAGACTTAGTGTAAACAAATCAAATTTCCATTGACAGCAAATATGAAGAAGATTAAGTCTAAAGACAGCAACCACAAGTTAAGGGCTAACTTAAAAACTTACATGCAAAATCGGGTGATGGGGTTATATAAAGCAGCGGGCAAAAACTGGCATGGCCTGTGCTGCTTGAAGTAATTTGAACCTTTTACTGACTTTGTGTCTGTGCTTTACTGATGTCCTAGTTGCAGCCAAAAACGTAGTAACAGTATTCGGGACATTAAAATTACACCTTAGCAGCTTATACCTAGTAGTGCAAGTACATTAAATGTTCTAGCACTGCGTATGTATTTGACACTGCATCTGTACCACATCTCACAAATATCATTGACATGATGAAAATAAAAGCCTGGCCGGGCATTGTGTGTGTGGTGTTTTTTTTTTTTCTTTAAAAATGAAAATGTCAAGTCTGCTAAAAAAAAAATATTTAGAAGAAATATTAGAAAAAAATCCTCTGTAAGATTGGGTGTTACTTACCTCTCAAATAGGGAGAAAATTGTATGCACTCTTCTCACCTGTTCAGTATTAACTTTTTGTGAATGATCACATGATCAAGAAATGTTAGAGGCTAGATCAAGTCCCAGCTGAACTTTGTGTTTAGTCTCTGAACAATGTTGTTAAGGCTTATGTCATGAACTACTGGTTATCATAAAAATCACTGCTTCATTTGCATTTTACTGATACCAACTTTTGCGCCTGTGTTTCTGTGAATCTAGGAATGGTGTCTGTTCTGGATTTGATGCAAGGTGGTTTCCCTTCGCGAGCTTCATTTCATGAACTATATAATATGTACAAGAAATACTTGCCTGAAAAATTGGCTCGACTGGATCCTAGGCTCTTTTGCAAGGTAAGAAAAAAATTTCTTCTTCTTCTATATCATCCAGGACAGAAAATGTATTGTGGGGGTTTTTTTTGAACTTTTTTTTTTTAGTTTTTTTGAAGGAGGCAGAATATAATGCTAACTGTTTTCTGTGTTTCAGGCACTATTTAAAGCCTTGGGGCTGAATGAAAATGATTACAAATTTGGGTTAACCAAGGTGTTTTTTAGACCCGGCAAGGTAATGTTTCTTTGGCGTTCATGAATGTGAATCTTAGAATAATTTTGGTTGGAAGGGACCTCTGAAGGTGACATTGTTCAACACATTGCTAAAAGTGTAGACAACTTAAATAAGGTTTTTTTGTAAAGCTGTTCATTGTTCATTTTCTATGAAAAAAAAAACAAACCAACCAACCAAAAAAACTGACATAATTGGTTTCATAGTCTTGTTGCTAATGCTGCTGTATTCCTAATGCAATGCTTGTATTCCCAGATGTTCTATCAGTCACTTAAGACTTTTGTTGACTATTAAAAAGAGCAAGTCAGAGCAAAGGAAAAATATTTTCTAGTAAAATCTACTTATAGCTGAAATCTCTTTCTGTGATTCTGAGCATTGCTGCTGCTATGCAGGGAAAAGAGATAAAGTTAGGGAGCTGTTGTGACTAGAAGGGAAAATTATTGTAGTCCCAGAAGAATGTTCTTACTGTCATAATTACCGAAAAGTAGAAGTGCAGGATTTTCAGAAAAGGTTGCCTTTAGTTGGACTCTTACACAAAGGTTAAAAATTGAGAAGTGCTTTCAGGGCTTTATTTTTTCCCAGGTACAAAATTAGAGGTCTCTTGAAGTTGTGGAGTGCCAGAGTAAGTGTTCAGGATGTAGAGAAACAATTAATTTTTAAAAATTTTGGCAGTAGATATTTTTAGTGATTAATAAATGGTTGGATTATTCAAAATGCTGTGTTGCACATCATTAAACAAACAAACAAAAAAACCAGTAGTCATTTCTGGTTATCATTAAAGAATAAAGTGATGCCAGACACACCTGCTCACTTGAATTAATTGAAAGCTGATATAATGATGACATACAGTTTATGTTAAAAATATTTTACCTTTTTAACTCAACATGCTCTTAAATAATAATGTCTAACACTCCCTGTTCTCCTCATTTGTAAAACTTTTTTATTTAGTTTGCAGAGTTTGATCAGATAATGAAGTCTGATCCGGATCACTTAGCAGAGCTAGTTAAACGAGTGAATCGCTGGCTTATCTGCAGTCGTTGGAAAGAAGTTCAATGGTGTTCTCTCTCAGTGATTAAATGTATGTATCTTATGTTTTATTAAATCAAAATGTTTATTAAAAATATAGCAAAGCAATTATTATCACCTTAAAATCTGGCTAAGGACATGTATAGCAGATGGTTACATACTAAAGTCTGAGTAATTGCTTTCAAGGATGGTGAGATTTTTTTATGCTTCATGTTAGGTACATATAGGGGGGCTTAGAGCAGAGGTTTTTAAAAGCGGGACATACAGCCCACCACCAGTCTCCCGTGTCCAGTCTGCTAGGGTGCTTACTGAAGCCTGGGTAAACACTTGCACAGGAGTAACTAGTTATCACAGGTCTCGTGGGGAAGAGACTTCTACAGCAGTAGGAAAGAACAGTAGTTCAACTCTCAGCTGACAACACGGAGTCAGTTAGTTCTGGGAAGTGCCTGCACAGAGGTTGTCATCTCTGGACAGAAACTGCGTGTTTAAAAGCACTAACATGAATTACGAGGCAAACATCTCCACCCCAGCAATTACTGCTGATCGGCAAATAAGTGCCTATCACTGTTGATAGTGTGGCACTATTGTGAGTGTGCATGCGCTTCATTCTTTGTTTGTTTTGGGTGGGAGCTTCTATGCCTGGCTCAGGATTCTGTTGTCTGCTGTGTCTTAAGTGTTGTGGTTCTGGTATAGACCTGGCTCTCAAGCACATGTAGTGTGCATACAGTTTTGAGCCATCAAGTGTGTGAGTAATATAGGAGTTGTGTTAAATTGTGTAAACCATTGAGACGCAGTATCTTCTGTGTGTTTACAGTGAAAAATAAGATAAAATATCGAGCCAGTGCCTGCATTAAAATACAAAAGACTATTCGTATGTGGCTTTGCAAGAGAAAGCACAAACCACGGTAAGAGGATATTCCTTGGTTGAAGAAAATGGATTTTTAACAATATTTTCTTGTGAATGTAAAGAGGAGATTTAGTATGCTTAATTAAATAGATCTGAAGTCATAGAATGATGCTAAGTACGACTGAAAGAGACTTCGAGAGGTGCCGTTGTCCTTCTCTCTTTCCCAAGGATGAATAGACTAAATCTGAACCTTTCCTCAGAGATGTTTGTTTAGCTCTTTCTTCATAAAATCCTTCAGTGATAACCTAGTTATTAGAAATCCTTAGTTAAGTCTCTCTAAATGAAATTTAAGCTCACTAATTTTCATCCTTTAGCCATTCACACCTTCCTTTATAGGCCCCCTTTCTTTTTTTTATCTTAAAAGTAATTGTGTGTTCAGTCTGTCTTGTCTCCTCTTGAAATTAAGTAATTCCATTAGCCTTAATCTGACTGCATGGAATACTGATGGAAAAACCATTTTGATCACTAAGCTCTGCTGACACCTTTTTGTTCTTTGATAGAGATCCACCTCTCTTTTCTTTAATAGTGGGGTTCTTAGAAAATGTTTTCTTTTACATCCTTTGGTAGTTATGTTTTGTTTTTTTTAAATCTTGGCATTTCTGACCACGTCACTGTGTTTTTAAGCTGTTCTGTACTCATCTTTAATGGTTTGATTTAGTTTCTACTTTTTGCATGTTGTTTTCCTGAATCTGAGCTGCAGTGATTTCTTTCTAGGAAGACTGTCTGTGCAGAGTTGTAACTTGTATGTGTGGCCTTCAGTATTGGTTCTTTAAAAAGCTCCAAGTTTTCCTGGACCCTTCTTTTCCCCAGACTTTCTTTTTTTCCCTGTGGGGTCTAATGACTGGGTTCCCTGCCGTGTAGTTACATTTTATCTGATTCAGTCCCATTGTTGCTCTTTGGGTAAATGGCACAACTCAACCTTTATCCACTCCAGTCAAAATCCTCTAGTGGATACTAATGATTTGTTATTGAAAAAAAAACCCAAACCCCACATTAATTCTCAAAATAAAAATGCATTTTTCCATTTTGAGTCACTGTCTGCTAATCGGTTTTAATATTGTTTGCAAAAGGCTCCATTGCTTAGTTACTTCATGTGATAATGTTTGAATTTCAAAAAAAGAGGGTGAGTTTTATCAGAAGGCATAACTTGTCTCCCCTATCTACCTCTTTAATGTGAGTGATTAGTTCTAAAAATATCACCTTGTAAAAACATCTCAAAATACAAATAAACTGTCCTACCTTCACAGCATTGATGGCCTGATAAAAGTGCGTACCCTGAAGAAGAGACTTGAAAAATTTAATGAAGTAGTAAGTGCTCTGAAGGAAGGGAAAGCAGAGACAAGCAAGCAGGTCAAGGAGCTGGAGTATTCTATTGATGCTTCAATGACCAAAATTAAGGTATGATAATAATCAGAGAAATAGTTTCTTATTACTGAAATCTTTTAAAAACTTTATCTAAAGTAGAAGGCCAATGTATTTTTGTTAATAGAAAAGACATTTTAATATAGAGGTCTTGATTTTCAGAGGCACTGGATAAATCCTTTTTAAAATTATTTGTGAATGTAACTGGAGTGAATCCTGAAACTGGGTGCATACGTTTAGACTTTGGTATTATTATCTGTTTCAAAATTGGCACTGGAGAATTTAAAGCAAAAATGCATGTTGATATTGTGAGACAAGTGTTGTTAATAAATTTGCTTGTTGCTTTTATTATTGGAATAATGCATATTAGCAATGTTTTAAATTAATTGGGGCTGAAACGTACAAGCATGTATCACAGAGTGAAGAGATTTATATTCCAGTTACAAGTTTTTTTCAGATGTGGTAGTAAAGAGAATTCAGCTTGCTGATTATGCTTCAGGGTCTATAGTTCTCTGTTTCTTACCACTAGAGCACACAGACAAAATGAAAGCTCACTAGGATTTATTAATGTTAGGAAAAATTTGATGTGTTGAATTTTTGTTTCATGCAATGTTATAGCTTTCTTAGTGTACCACATTAAGATTTTTCTATTTAAAATCACAGTTGAAAAGATGATAGAGTTAACCTGTCAACTTATAGTTCTCTTTTCTAATAAAAATAAGACAATTTGATTGTCATTATGATAACCCTCAGAAAAGGTGAGCAAACACCCCGTATTGTAGTTTTATTAGTATACATCAATGTGAATTGTAAAATGAAATTAAATTGTAGCTATTGATGAGGTTTGAAAACATGTAGCAAAGGCTATTGTTTTAAGTATTTTCAACCTGTTATTTGCTACTAATACCTTTTTAAAAAAAGTTAGTCACAGCATGGTCCAATATTTTTTCTGAGTGCTAGCACACATAGTAAGAGAAACTATTCTGTGCTATGACATAAAAGGCAGAGCTGTAAATAACCACTATAGAAGCTAAGAACATGACACAAAATGCACATAGGAGGTCCTTAGTTTTCATCTTAGCGTGGTAAGAATTAATTTCTGTTGCTTAAAATTGCAAGGTTTAAAAAATGGAGGCATGATATAAAGAGAAGTAATGTTTAATTTCAGTGATAAAATGGAGATTACTTTGTATGGTTTTATATGAGAGAGGAGAGTAATGGATCCCCAGGATTTTAGGAAGGAAGGGAAGGATGTGCTCAAGCTCCTCTCCCACCCTGAAGTGTATATATAATTTAATTATACTGCTCAGTGCTCTCATTTCACTTAATATTTTTTCACTATACATTTTTTAAAAGTGAAGTACAGAAGTAAAGGAATATAATCCCCTCTTATTATTTCATTTTACAGACCACTATAATGACTAGGGAACAGATACAGAAAGAATATGATGCTCTAGTTAGAAGCTCAGAGCAGCTTCTGAGTGCACTGCAAAAGAAGAAACAGCAAGAGGAGGAAGCAGAGAGGCTACGACGCATCCAGGAGGAAATGGAAAAAGAAAGAAAGAGACGTGAAGAGGAAGAACGACAACGAAGGAAGGAAGAAGAGGAAAGACGTCTGTGAGTCTTGAATAAGTTGCTGGTTATAGAATGAGAAAAAAAATCGGGAAGGCACTTCAGTGAGGTTGCTTTTAATACTCCTATGCTTAGAGAGTCGCTTGGATTGTACTCCTGGTGTGCTATGCAGTGTTAAAACATTTCCTTTCCCAGTGATTTATAAGGTAAGTGTAGTCAGAACAGAGTATGGAAGAAACTGTATGATGCAGCTGGAAATACAGATAGACTTGGAAAGTATCTTGACTTTACATGTAGCATCCTGTCATCAGGACTGTACTGACTTCTGGATTACCATTCAATTTTATGGAAGATGCTTTCATATCTCTTGTTCATTTGCATCGTAATAACATTTTCATTTCCTCCTCCTCTTCTGTAATAGGAAATCTGAGATTGAGGCAAAGAGAAAACAGGAAGAGGAAGAGAGGAAAAAGAGGGAAGAGGAAGAAAAGCGTATTCAGGTAATGTTTTAGCTGTGCGGGGGTTTTGAGGTTCTTTTTGTTGTTGTTGGAGTGTTTTTGGTTAGTTTTTTTGGTTTTTTTAAATCTTTTTCACAGCTTAGGTTCTCCGCTGAGTCTAACGGACTCATTTTATAAATGTGTGTCTCAAAGTCATTCAGTAGTGTTGCTTTAGTAGTAAATGGAAGGCAAAAATCAGGATTAGGGCATCCCAAGACAGATCACCTATTTCTAGTCCACATGCAAGTTCAGGTCTTCTGACTAGAGGTGCATTTGTTTTTAAAGGATTTTTAAAGTTATTTTAAAGTTAAAAATACGCAATACTGGAGGATCCGAGTTTAGCCTTTGAAATTTTTGCAAATGTTCCATGTCAGGCAAGTTTGGCACTGTTTTACTAGAAGTCACATCTGGACTCAGGCTGTGTCATGTACCAGCTTAGCTGTGAACGCTTTCAGAATATTGCTAATAACGAGAGGATACAGGACTGTCTCTAGTAGCCCATTTGACTACATTCATGTAGAATAAATACATGCAGTTCAAACCCTGCTCCTCCACCCCTCCCCCTTGATTCCTGACACTTCTTACGGATCCCATCATGAACTCTCACTCTGAGGTGTGTTTGGTCCCTATACCCTTGTTTTCCTCTTGTCTTGGAGATTGCCTGGGTGACCTGGGAGAGCAGTCTCAGACAGAAGAAGCTTCTCGGTAGGGGCAGTTGTAGCAAGCGTGGGGCAGCGGTCACTGATGTTTACAGACTCTTTTAAGCCCTGTCCATGGTTAATCAGAAGCAGAATTTTTCTCCTGTATCTTGTTATCCCTGAAGTTAGCCTAGCACTGCTTATCCTCCTTGCCTCTGCATACTGTTTTTTATCACCCTTACCCTTGTTCCTGATAAACAAGTCGCTGGAACTAATAGAGAAATTATAGCCTAACTTTGATGAGAAATGAATCTTTCCTGTATTATCGAATAGGTCTGTCACCTGTATCAGAATAATAAGCACTACTAGCTGGTTTTTATAATAAGCACTACCAGACCTGGGTTTTAAACATAAAAAGAGTAAACTGCTATTTGGCTAGTCTCTAAATCATTGCTTGGAGACCATTGCAGATGCGCCTAGTGTTTTGTGAGAAATTCATAGGGTAAGTTTCCATTCGGGGACAGTTTAAATGGATTAAACTTTGTCCACTGAGGAAGCAAGATGGACTGTTGCCAGAAGGTTTAAAAACTTGGTCTGCCAGCAGTATGAGCATCTCTAGGGATTGTCTTCATTTATGTTTCTGAGATGTGGATATCTGCAATGCAGAATGTAATTTACACTTTTACTTGGAAATGCTGTGTTTGGATAGAAAGCAGATACGTAATCCAGTAGGGTATTTCTTTCTTCTACATACAGTTAATTTACTCATTATCTTTCCTTCTGGTGGTTGTTGCTATCAGCTAATCTAAAATGGGATTCACAGGGTAAAGTCACTGGTCTTACTGCACTGCTTTACTGGTGCAAGTTCACGATGATGAGTGGGAAGTGACTTTGTCTCCTTTGTTGACTTTTGGGCACCAAGAAAGGCAGTGCTAAGACTTGGTGTGTATGACTTTCAGAAGTACGATTTGAATGGTTGCATTTTACTTACTATGTGTGCAAAACCTTTTGTTAAATAATGATGGTAAACTGGAATTAGTTTTGCTCTGCAGAGGCAGTATATCTGGATTGCTTCTGCATTGCAGTAAGTTGGAGTTTTACCATTTGCTTAAATTCAAAGCCAGATCAGGTCCACAGAGGATTCCAGTGTTTGCCTTGATCCCTTTTCAAAATGAACCACCTGTATGCACAGCAGTGCCTGTTGGCAAGTCCTATAATGCTAAGTGCAGAATATCAAGGGAGTATTGTGTTAGCACTATGGAGGAGTAACCATGTTGCTCTGTATCATCTGAGTTTTAATGAGTCTAAAAACTTTTGAAGTCTAATTTTCATAATAGTTAACAAAAAGCTTCATGTGTCTTTGAAATAAGGAATAATTGATTGGCACTTTAATTTGAAAAGGTAATACAAATGGTGGACAATAATGATTTGATAAACTCTATGTAAACCAAGATGCAATCTGTAGCTGTTTTGTTTTTCTTGGGTCAAACTAAATACTAATGCTGTTACTTTCTCAGTTCTGTAAATTTTGCAAGTTTTGAAAGCTATAAATATACTACTTGGCATATTTTTCTAATCATTTGCTTACATAGCATTTTGGTTTTGATTGGATAAGGTTAAACGTGTGGTTTTTTTATAAAACAGGCTGAAATCGAGGCTCAGCTAGCTAGAGAACAAGAAGAGGAAACCCAGCACCAGGCAGTTCTTGAACAGGAACGTCGTGATCGTGAACTTGCAATGAGAATTGCCCAGAGTGAGGCAGAACTCATCAGTGATGAGGTTCAGCATGATTTAGGATTGCGCAGGTATGGGGTTAAGTAGTTAAATTTCTCTTTTTTTTTTTTTTTCTTCCTATCCTAATCCCTTTGAGAATATGCTCTTGTTGGTTTTATGTATTTTTGTATTAAGTGGACCTTTTAAGTCAGTGTATTGGAATATTTTTCAAATTAACTTACGAAATTTATTAGAAGTAGATTGCTTCTGCTTAAAGACTTTGTCCATTTTGCGTCTTGCTACATCAGTAATTTAGTAGGTGCTTGTGAATACAACTGCAGTGCTCTTTCTCTTTTTGAGTTCTGGCAAGGATGGTAACCAATTTTAAATGAGTCATAAAAATCATAATTTAAGTAGTGAATGGAATTTCTTCAGTGGTAAGTAGTAATAAAATATACCCTTTCTGGTGCATAATGGTTCCAGTAGTATAGTGTGAATTTGTGTGTGGTTTTTTTAACAAGAAGCCCTCTTTGAATGCAGAAATAGTAGTTATTTCTGTGTCCTGACTGCTAAGTTTTTTAAAGTGGATTGAATATGTTTAACATAGATGGGTTCGAAAATTAAATGTTGTCTTAAACGTTTTGTTTTGTTTTGTTTGAACTTTTTGATGCGTCACAAGAAGCGCTTGGCTTTTGGTGTACAGATCCATACTGCCTGCAAAGCAAGAGCTCTTCATGTGTAAAGGGTGATGCCTCAGAAGCTTTATAGCCAGCAAACGTACATGTAATTAATTGATGTATTTTCTAACTGTGTGGCTTGCTTTCTTGTCCGGAAAGCATCTTTAAGATGTGCTCTCTGCATAGTTCTCCTAAGGAGAAAAACAATTTGTGCTTTTTTTAATTGATAGAGTTCTGATTTCAGATTACCCAGTTCAAATATGAACAAGATAAAAATACAGTTTAACAAAGTTTTGCTGCCCAGCCAGGGCACTTTCTAGAGGGTCTGTATGTTAATCAGGGTTCAATGAAAAGTGAATTAGGGCTCTTGGCTTTCTGTTTTTATATCAAGAACACAGCAGTATTGGGAAAAGCTTAGGTGAGAATTTGGCATAAAGTTGCAGTAAAAATGGTACTTATTGGGCAAATTGCATATAGAGACCTATGAACATGATCATTGTTGTCATTGGTGACTTCATTAGTACTGGTCTACTCAGTTTGTTGTTGTTGAAAGAAGGGGGTGTAAGAAAATCCCAAGTGTTTCCATGGAGTTTCAAGCTCCCAGATGTGTTCTCTTTGCTACTCAAATTTTATCTAGATGAATACTTTTTTTAATAACTGTATGCCTACATGAGATAGCTAGGTAATTTTTTTGTCATGTACAATACTGATTTTTAGACGCTTCCACTAAATTTACTGTGGTTTTGCCTTCAGTTATACAATAGCTGTCATATTGTCTCCGATAAGACTTTAACATGCTCAGCTGGATGTCCAAGTTCTTCACAGACAGCATTCTGGAGATTTTCATACTTTCCCTGTTTGAATTTTGGTGCAATACTTCGAAGGTAAACCCAAAGTCACTCTAGTGTTGCAACCTGGCAAACTTCTCTTAAATGTGAACGAAGGGAGGCATTAGACAAGAAGGGCTCAGAGAATTCAGTGACTTTTCTGTCAGAGAAGCTCTAATCTCCAGTTTTTCCTACTGCTCATGGGTAGTGCTGGCATTTGTCTTCCTTGTGTAGTCCCAGAATGGATGATGAACTAACCACCCTGGTAGTTAACGACTGCCAGTTTCTCTCCGCTGTGTAGCTAGCAGTAGGAGAATGAAGACTCTTTTCTGAATGATTGGAAAGTGTAGAATGGTCTGAACAAGTTAACATAGCAATGTAAATCCTTTCTTGAACAAGATAATATATATAAATCTAGAAAAAAGTAGTAGAGAGATTTTTCTACTTATAAGATATTTCTTTTTAGCTCATTAGCAAAATTTTTTCTTTCTGTTTCTGCAGTCCACTTCAAAGAGTTTTAAGCATGTCCAAAAATTCTTTTAATTTCACCTTTGATTTGATTTTGTTTTGGTTTGTTGTTTAAAAACAAACTAAATATTTCTTCAGACCCCGATATCTTCTACTGAAATCCAACAGTAGATTTCCACGTAACTGCAGGAATCGGCTTAAGGGTAGAAACTGTGGGAATTCTTCTCTGAAATGAAAACTATTGGTTTGAACAAAACATGCAATTGAGTAATTTAAACATAAATTCTCAGGACTTATTTTAACTGATATCAATTAAAATTTTACTAGAGTCTAAGGGAGTTATATTCTGCCATCTTCTGGATTTAAGACTTGCATATTACCATATGATACACTGAAATCACTGCGACTTTTATGTATGTATATTTCCCTTTTCTGTTAAATTTTGCTGTAGTAAGAGAAAGCATGTATCACTCCATACTGAATTCATGCAGTATACTGGTTCTACAGTGTTTTCACACAGTTTTGTAAAAAATCATTTCATGCTTACACGTTGGCATGACTAAAAGGGTATTTTCCATTGTGCTGTACTACCTTGTGGAGTGAAAATAGTAAGAACAAGGTGATTTTTATGTGCCACTTTGAAGGAACTCTTGTATTTCGCTCATTTTTCAGGAACATGTGATACTTGCGTGTTGTCATATTTGAAAATGAGTAGCCTCTACTTTATTTCTTTTCTTCTCAATACCTTGCTGCATTCACCATTAGTTTTCATAGATATTTAAAGGTTCATAAGTATTAGTAGTTTCTTTGAGAAATATACTCATTGGCTCTTGTCAAAGAAGAAAACTTATTTGTTCTGGCAGTAGATCCAGCATTTTTATTTGTGCTTATTCTGTGCTGGGTATGCTGGACCTCTCCTAGATTCATCCAATTTTATTACTCATCCACAATTTGAAAGCGTGTGTAATGAGGGATTTACTGCACTTAGGGGTAAATTAACAGAAGTACTTACCACTTAAGTAAAAAATTAATTAAGTTAATTAATAAGTTAAATAATAGATACATTTTCAGCTGTGCAATATTTTTAATTTATGTGGCTTATTGAAACATACAGTATAGCATATAACACCAAAATAAGTAGCCTCAGTGAAGGTGGTGTGAGTATCTCTTCTGTGCGTCGCATATTCAGTGCTACATGTGTGTACACGTGGGTCTTCAGTATGGCACTTAGACTCAGTGCCTTTTCACAGCTTGCATGAAGAAGCTATCTGTCCTGTTCCCAGGGTAGCTACATGAGGATTGCTGTTATTTCTTGTGATATGCTCATCCAGCCATAAAATGTATCAGCAGCATGTCTCAAAATCTTTGATTTTGAAAGGGGGGTGGGGGGGAGAAAGGGTGGGGAAGTTTTCGCTTATACATTTTTTCCAGATTATCGTAATTTAACTTTTTAAAAATAATTTAACACTCACGATTAAATGAGAAAGGTGAAGAAAAAAGGTCTGTATAATCCTGTTTCTCAGTGGAAAAAAAAAAATCATAAGATAGTAAATAATATGTGAGAGAGCAGGAAATACTATGACCCACTTTTTCCCACTTCATTTAGTAGAAAGGTAACTAGGAAGTAGTCTATGTAACATAAATATCTTCTATTTGCAGAGCCAATGGAGCAAAGCTGCAAATGACTGCGTATGACATTTTTTTCCATTCAAATGCTCTAATAGAAAAAAAAGCAACACTAATTAATTCAAAGGAAATTGACATTGTCCTCTTACTCACTAGTTACCCCATAATAATCTTTATTAGCATGCATCTGTAAACTTTAAATCAGTTTGTAATACCTTATATCCACTACTTTGCTTATGTCTAATAAACAAGTTAATAATCTAATATACCTAATAATATCTATTTAAAGATGATTATATAATCAGCGTAAACTTTTTCACATACCATCCATTTTTCACTGCCCTGTGTGATTTATTGCTCTTTACAGAATCAGGACTGTGTATATATATTAGAATGGAAATTATTTAAAATAAGTAGCCTTTTTTTTTTTTGTGCACTTGAATTAGCTTCAATTTGGTTGGCAAGAGAATATCACAGTTTTAAAGGCTGCTTTTATATTAATGTTTGGTTTATGCTTATTTATCAATGTTCTTATAGGGAACAAATGGCCACAGAAATGTCAGAAATACTGTCTAGGTAGGTGAGAAGACACCACCAAATGAATCAATCATTTTATAAAAAAATCACACATGAAATGGGTTGAATTATTATGCAATGAAAAATAATGGAATCTTTTTTAGTTGGTTTTTTTAAGTGCTAAGCAGATAAGTAAATAATTTATTTCAGATAAATTTCGTTTATCAACACCTTTTTTCCAGCAATTATTTTTCTGCTATTTTAATTGATTGTATAAAAAAAAAAAAAGAATGGTTCCCATACCCTGGTATTTTGTGTAATTTTGATAACGTTCCTCTAGCTTTCTTCTCTTTTCACCTTTCTTATAATGATAATAGAAAGCTAGGCTCCACATCTTTCGAAGGAGGATTTCTACAGATTCAACACAGAGTTAATGAAGTTATTTAATATTAATGTAACTGTTAGTGCTTCTAATAAGAAAATATTCTAGTTACAGTTCCCTTCAAATAAAAGCAGTTTTGAAAACTACTGTTAAAAGCTTATTAAAACCCCTCTTAAGACATCCAAACAAAATCCCCTTCTGAGATTTCTTGAATGCTACTGCAAGATTTTATGCACAATGCAGGAGGAAAGGAGAATGCAGGTTTAGATCTGAATACAATTCTACTGTAACAGTCTCATTCTGATTTGTGTTAGAATACTAGTTATTTGTTGAAAAATTGTAATAATGTCCTCCATATCAGTGAGTAATTAGAAAGGGTTTTGTGCAACTTGAGGACAATAATAACCTTTTGACATTCATTTTCTGAAGCTTACATAAGAAGTGAAATTGTTTAGAGTTTTTAAAAGTGAATCTGCTGTTAAACAAGCTACTATGCTGTGTATATATAGTCTGAAGAAGCTCAGTCTCACATGATTGATGGGTGTTCTAGTTGTAGCATTGATAGTTGGGGATGCAGCTGCTAACTAAATTTGTTTCTTGCAGTAGCATTTTAAGAATAGGAATAAACAGTGTTCTGTGTAATTAAGTTAGCATGTGAATTTAGATGGCTAGATTGTATTGCATATATTGACATAGTTCCAATGACAATGGCTAATTCTTAATGTGCAAAAAAATCACAAAACTTTAGGGCAAAATCAGAGGCTCTGTGTTTTGGTTGAATTAAAAATGCAATGCAGTACTTCTTACTGCGTGCTTGTTTAACTAGATTTTTTTCACTTTTCATATACTGGAAACTTGACTTGAGTCTGATTTTTTTTTTTTTTTTTTTTTTTTTTTAAGTCTGAAAATACTGTTTATGATACATAATTTTGTCAGACTGAGCGGTGAAGACTGACTGTCAAGTATGATGTTCTTCTTACTGCCAGACTGTTACGCTTAAAGTCATGTAGAAACCAAGAGAGTGATCTGCAGAGTGCAGAGTAGTGCTGTAATGGAAAGGCTAAGCCATTCCATTGGATTAGCATTCTTAAAGATTACTAGTTTAACCAGAGACCTTACAGCCTAGTTCTGCTGCTCTAAATTATGTAGCAAACTCTGAGAGTGGTGGATAGTGTTGCTAATTAAGGAAAATCCTTAGGATTTGTCAAATTAGATTCAAGAAGGTTAGACACCAGGCAGCGGAAATTACATTTAGCAGCAATCCTTTAATGTCCTACAGGTATGCCAATGATAACAAAATAATAAAATATATATTTTGAAGGAGACTGTCTGTCTAATGATTTGTTTTACACTTACGAGTAGTGCTAAGGGTGAGGAAAAGTTCCTGTCCCTTAGCTATGTACTGATTAAAAGTCAAAGAGGTAATTTCTTATGTCAGACTTCCCACGTACCATAACTGGAAGCTGTGTGTTGACTCAGATTAGTAGTATGAGTAGGCATGATTAAGCTGATGCTGCAATAAACAGCAAGATTCTGTAGTTTTAATTACATTTGAAGAGGTGGTTTAGTTGCTATTAAGAAGAACATTTGGTTAAACAGATTGTTTTATTCTATGCAACTGAAAAATAAATTGCATTTGTTATCTCTGCTTTCAGAACTGCTATATCTACTAGAGAAATTTTTCACAGAAAATGTATTTATAACCTATTAAGTAAAAAGGCAAAACAAACAACAAAATTTCATAGTCCCACATGAGACTTTTATGGAAAAATAAACTTTAAAATAATATTCACTGGATTATAAATACTGTAATAATGTAACAGTCCCACAAAAATATTGCTGCACAAACAGACTTTAACTGAAAAGTCCTGTTTTCTTCTGTTTTTCTCTTTTGTGAATTTTTACAGTGATGTGTTGCATCAAGTATTTTGCTACCCTGTTAAAGATCTATTTTTTTCTGAACAAATCCTCTCAGATCCTGAAAGATAATTCAGTTTGCCTCATGTTCTTAGTCATGGGCATTAGCAGAGGTTGGTAAAATCATGTGTCTGTTCCTAAATTCCTTTGTGTTTAAAAAGTATTCTGATCGTCACTGAATGTTGGAGTGTTTTGAACTTAGTTAACATCCAGATAATCCATGGGAAGTTTGCCATTCCTACGGGAGAGTTCTTCCGCTTCTTATCCATAACATTTTTAAGAAAAAAAATCAGATTTATCTTTAGACATATACAGGTAATGTTTGTTTGTTACATGGATAACGTTACACATACTGTTAATGATGATGGAATTTTACTAATAACTTCTCACTTGCATTTGCTGTTGACTTTATTGCATACTACCCACATGATGAATACCTTTTGCCTTTGAAAAACACTGTTTCTAGATGAGTCTTTTTGTACTGGTCAGCCTTTCTTCTGATAGTGGTCTTTTTTCCCTTGGTATCTCTTAATGACACCCCCCACCCCCCAAATAAATATTGCTGTTCTCAGACAGCTACTATACAATTAATATAGAATTAATTTGATTTCTTCTTTCAAATTAGACTTTTGTCAAAGAAATGAAATATTTTCTCTAGTCTTGGAACAAGGGTTTTGTCCTAATTCAGTTTTAAACAGCAGAGGAAACGCCTTTTCTCCCTTCTTCTTGTCTACTTCAGAAATATTTTTCCTCATCTGTTTTTCAAATGGAACTAAAAATGTATATGGCCACTCCTTGTTGTCTGTATTCTGCATCTTGACTAGTACCAAGAAAAATGTACATCAGCATGGGGTGAGGTACACATGAATAGAATATACGTCTTTTCACACATAAGCACTAACTATTACTGATAATTCCTTTTAATCTCTAGGCAACCAATCAGATTATTACATGATTTTGGACGTAAAAGATGCTTTCACTTTTTCTTAATCATTTGAACATCTTGAAAATAATATGGTACTTTGCCTGTGAATTCAGTCATTTGCTGTTGATTTTCATTGTAATAAGCGTGCTGCAGTGTTGATCGTGGGATCTGTTCCTCCTGTTGTAACAATTCCTGTTTTATACTTGAAAAAATACATATATATATTTTCTTTTTTAAATAAATGTAGGGGCCCTTTAGTTCAAGCCTCGAAAGCTGCTGCTGGTACTAAGAAGCATGATCTCAGTAAGTGGAAATATGCAGAGCTTCGCGATACAATCAATACATCCTGTGGTAAGTTGTTTTTTGGGTTTTTTTCTGATTTGAGAAAGAAGTCAAGTTGTAGTTGTATGAAAGGAGTTACTTTCTTCCTATGACAAAGATAAAAACTTGCTCGTGAATTTATTCAGGTTTGAATGAATGTCAAATTAATTTTGAAAAGCTCTTATTACCCCAAAGAGAACAGCGAACTAAGCTATTTCCATATTGAGGAAACATAATTTCCTTTGTTACCTCCTTTACTGATTATATATTTACGAAGTTAAACTGCTTGGGCTGTAAAATACATGTTATAATTTCTTAATTAAATTATCTCAGTTTGATGTATTTCCACAAAGGGAATAATAGTTATTATGCTTTACCTAGAATTTGCGTGTTCTAAGAATTTTTTTGCTATCACTTCTTGCTGTCACTAAATCACAAAAAAGCAAATATGTCATGTAAAGCACAGCGTAAAATATTTTCTGTCTTAGATGTTCAGATTATTCTTTAATTTTCAAAATGTGTAACTTCATTGGGGAAGCTCACAGTTGGGACATTAATTACTTTTCTCCCAATGTGATGAAGATAGAAACAGGTAAGAATTATTCCTTTATTAAATATTACTGTTTCTTCCTGCTTCTGATTGAAAGCAGTTGGTTAATTTCTGATTTAAGATAACTCAGAATTTCTCCCTGGATGTAGAAATTGGAAACGAACCCATTCTCTCTATTTGTATTTAAACCCCAAAGTTAGCTCCAAATTCTAACTCTCTCTCTCTATTGTTTTTACATATGCAAGACTGGAGTAATGTTACCAGTGGAGTAGGTGGTGCAGTAATACATGGTGCTAATGTGTGTTCATCCCTAGTGAAGCCAATTTGGATACTCTTAGTGACTAATGAAAAAGCCTTGCAATCATTCAGTCTCTTAGTATCATGAAATTCAGCAAAATTAAAATATATTTAATAAAGTGGAAAAAGAACCTAGATCTGAGCAGTCAAATTGCTGATTTTTTTTTTCAGTTGCAGAAATAAAGTTCAGTGGTGAAATTTTATCTGTTTCTGTACTGCTTGGCTTGTGATAATGTCAACAGACAAATTTAGCAAAGCGAAAATTTTATTTGTAGCATTTCACTGCTCCAAATCTCACAGTAGAACAGCTACTTTGGGGATTGCCATTCTTCTAAAGGAGAAAAGGTTATATAGCACTCCAAGGATCTTTCTGGGCCATAAAATACAGGCCCTGTTGCTGCAGAGAATGAGGGTTTATTATATTATATTGTAACACATTAGTGTTACAAACTGATCTAAAATTACGTACCTATGAATATAGAAAAGCATATCATGAATAATTTTTCTGATTTTTCTCACTCCTCCCTTCCTTCCTTATTTTTGAGACAGATATTGAACTGTTGGCGGCTTGCAGAGAAGAGTTTCACAGAAGGCTAAAGGTATATCATGCTTGGAAATCCAAGAATAAGAAACGCAATACAGAAACAGAACAGCGTGCTCCCAAATCAGTCACAGACTATGGTGAGGAGAGATAGTTTTGTGTTTATAATAATTTTGGTGGCAATATTCTAAAGAAAACATTTCCAGAATGAATTTTGGTTTTGCCTGGTTGAAGGAAATTCTTGGGTTTTTTAGAGTATTTTTATATTGATTTAAGGTAAATATTTTGAAAAGATTTTAATACTTCGCAGAAAGTAGAATATTTTCAGGATACCCAGACACATGTACTGGATAGCTCTCCCCAAAACCTTTTCTCATACCAACTCACTGCTGTTAAAAATAGTTCTTGATTTGGTGTTGCAGTTGCTGGCATTTTTGCTAAATGTTCATTGCTGTGCTACTTAAGACTAAGGAAGATCACTTTCCATTTATGAAACTGTAGTTTGCACGTTGGAACTTTTGAGACTGTTTTTAAGGTTGTTTATACTAGTTCTGACCTCTGTAATTACAAATGTTGCTTTCTGAGACTAGTTAGTGATAGTGTAGAACAGAGAATTATACCTAAGGATAGAATAGAGAGTCTAAAAATAGTTCTCAAGTAGTCTGTCTATCAGAGAATTGCATGTGATTTTTTTTTTTTTGGTGTTATAAAAAAACAAGATTGGAAGGAATCGTGCTCTGTTATGTAATTCACTATTACATTTGGGGTCCAGACAAAACAAAAAGTATTGGTGATAAGGGGTTTTTTTTTTTCATGCTTTTATTCTTTCGTAAGATACAGATATATAGACATAGATGTAGATACTTTTAAAAGGTGCTAATAATGTCCTCATTTACATTACTGTAAGCCTTATATATTTCAGGTTACATTCTCTTTTTCAAAATACTTTGAGTGTTGATATTGCAGGTTTTGATTATGGGATCACAAATTTTGCGTAGTCCCTGCTTTCTTATTAGACTGTCATTCTGCTGATTTCACAGATGGGTGTTTATTGTCAAAGCAATGCACTAATGAGAATAAGTGACTGCCTTTTAAATTCAACAAGACGGTGTAGGAGTTACCATGTTTAACACTGCCAGACCTGAAAATTAGGTGCCTAGTTTCTGGAGTGGTATTTGCAGAATGGATTGTTACTCTTTCCCCGCCACCCCGCCCCCCAAGTCCAGTGATAGCCTGTTATAGAAGGAATCTAAGAAATGAACAGAATCACAGCAAATGGATATAATAATTCAGTCAGATCTTTCCTGCTGTCTTCCGGTTCCGTGATTCTTGTGTTCCTGGCCACGCAGTTAATGGGAGAGGCAGAGGAAAGGGAAGATGGGGAGAAGATGCTCTCCGAGGTCCTGTTAGCCTGGGATTAGAGCTGGGACGTGGGGGATACAGATCCCGGGGGATACAGATCCCAGGGGATACAGGTGCCCTACTTACTCTCAGTGTTAGTCCTTATACAAGGTGTTTCCTTCCCCTTGATTCATTTACCGAGTTATGCATTGCTTTGAGCATTACCTGAGAATTTGAGCTTTTCAGGGAACTTTGGTAACAGATATATGGCAGGTAAAATCTGGACCCCTGGAGAAGATGTTATCAAAGAATGGGTCTTTGTGGCCATGCCTAGTAATGTGGTTTTAAGTGCTTAAGAAAGCTTATGACTGAAACAGCAGGAAAAGGCATTTGAAGCACTTCTGCAAAGTGGTAAGTTGCTTTGAATTTGAGCTTGCAAATTCTGTCTGGAGCTAAATGGGTAAAATAAATATTCATGTACAGGATTGCTGATGGGGAAGTATCAAAGAGCAGAAAATCTTTGGATTTGTGCAAATAAAGCTTGGAATATTCATGATCTCATCACATTTAGTTAGACATTTACTGCATTCTTTTCAATGTTTTTCATTACATTTTTTTACTTTTCTTGAAATATAGCTTCATATTTCTGAAGAAAAGTTAGAACATTGCAGTTCAGAAGTCACTGATAGTGACCTTCAGAGACTCTCGTTAATGTCAGAAGCAATTCTTCCCATTGCAAATAGTTATACTACATGGGCATTTCACATCTATGTATTGTAATGACCTGAGAAGGTAGTAAGAAGGAACTCTGATTTCTTAGATGTTTAAGCTAAAAGTCTTTCGGGTGTCAGTGGATGTGTACTTCAAATGATGTAGTTTCTTCTTTCTGTCTTTTCACTAATGTCGTATAATTGTACAGGTATCCTTTAATTAAGTTCACACATTCAGTATAGAAGCTAAACACTGGTTTGCATATTATTATTGGAATAGGCAGGTTTGGTATTAATAGAAGTCTGGAAATTTTTTCATCACAGAAATGTCAAAAATTCAAAGTACTAAGTTAATTAACTAACCGATTTGTTACAGCAATCTGTGCTTAGCTTGTATACAACTGAGGTTTTGTAACAGGCATCGCAAATCATTGAAGTAATCAATTTCAAAAATAAATCCTGATGAAAATAGAAGCAGTTGGAAATCTATGAAACTTGAGGAAAGGAGACATTTTGTATATGTCAGTGAGCAGAAAATGAATAGAAATACTTAGCTCAACATCTGTGTTTATTTTGTAACTAGAATTTCCTTATGTCTATCATCAGCATTGGTGAAAAATGTCGAGGTAATGAAACTATAACTTATAAAGGATCAGCACTTTTATGTTTTGTTCAACATGTAATATTTGTTCACAGATTTTGCACCATTTTTGAGCAACTCACGTAAGTGGGGAGATGGTTATTTCAGCTAACTTTGAAGAATAGGAACACTTGAGAGCTCTATACTAACGTTAATTAATCCAGTGTTTTGCTACACGTGTACATAGAATTTAATTGTTCAAAAAGATTCTGTTTTACAATTTGGCAATGTTATTCAACTGATGGTAATTATATGTTACTTTAGTAATTTATGAATGTACTTTACTGCTTACCTTCATGAGATCCTACCCCTTTGAGCAGTCATGGGAAGGGAGAATGAAATAACCTTTTTATGTCGGTTATTTGAAGGTACAATCTCCTCTTTCCCCCATCCTCCACTCCCCCCTCAAGAAATACCATGCTTGTTATAACATTTTTTACTGTCTGCACATGGCCTTTTGTTGTAGCAAAACTCTGGAATCAGCTTAATATAACAGCTATTTTCCTAGAACACAAACTAACATTCAGGTGATGGTTTCTTTTGAATAAAGAACTACAATTCCATAGCACTGAAAAGTAGAGGCTATATTGGCTACTCAACTTTCCTGTCCTCTAGATTTCCTCTTGGATTTAGGTATGCATAGGGGTAGAAATAAGTCTTAGCAATTACCATTGCAGTGCAAAAAGTGTTTGACAATACTAAAGCACTGATCTGCTGTGATAGATATTCAGACAGTTTGCAGCAAATAGAATTAATTTCCTATAAACTGTAGACTATGTCTCCCTGTAAAATACATGCTTTATCAGAGTTGACGTATAAAAGTAGCATTCACCTATTAAAATCCATTTTGTTTTTCATCTCTTCGTTTATGGAAAAAAAATTGGGGGGTACGATTTGTATAGTACTTTTTTTTTTAAGATTCTGTTCTTCACATTTAGAAAAACTAATTTTGCTTGAATCTAAGTGGAAGAAATTTCAAGGTGCAGTTGCTAGTCTATTAGTCTTGTTCATAACTGTAAAAATACATTATTAGAAGTGATTGTCATTTTTCATTTTATTAAATTTTAGCTCAAAAATTAGCTTTGCAGCTTAATAGACAATAGACAAAAAAGGAATTCACTTTTAATTATCCCCTTTATGCTGAAAAATGGAACTGTTAATACTGATTTTCTTTTCTAGAGATGACATAGATTCACATTCAGAATTTCTTAAACAGGGTATTTGTAACAGTGGTATTGTAAACCACTAAAACAAGATAAGTAATAAACTTTTGCAAGAGGCAGTTATTAAAGGAAAGGATCTTGCTTGTAAGAGCATTTACTATTTAAAACTGATTATGAAAGCGTATACGTAACATTAAGAAGGTCGATCAGTTGATGAGTTAACATAGAGAGTATTTGCTTTTATTTGAAAGAAAGTTTCTCTCCAAAGTCTGAAATGTGTGGGACTCTGAGGGAGTCCAAAAATGCATCAGGGGAAATGTTTACCAAACATATATATGAAGCTTTAAAAGATTTCATATAACTCTGTCTCCTCTGGAAGTTTGGTCTGTTGATCTTAATGGTCTGAAATAAACAATTTCTTCAAAAAAGAAAGGGGCCAGAGAGTAGTTCTAATGCTAGAGTTTAGTACACAGAAATCTAGGCAGAAAGTTGGGTTTGGTGGCAGCTTTGTAATAAGCGGTACTTGTTGTCAACATTTCTATTAACAAATTAGTCACTTCTAACAGTATTACACACCCTTCTGTGTTGACTGTCAAAAATCTTCAAGTGGTGCTTTGTATTTTTGTAACTGAAAATGCTTCTTTGCACTGTGATTTTGGTCTACAAAGAGATGGATTGAACTAGAGCAGTTACTGATTAATGTTTCCAGTTGGTAAGAAATTTTATATGGGAGGTTTTACTTTAAATATTGATTTAAAGCAGAATATGTTATTTTACTCGCTTTGTTTTTTTTTTCTAAAAGTACCTGATGTCGTTGAGCAACCTAGTGTTACACATAGATACAATAGTTAACGTGAGCCTTTCCTCACCAGTGTTGTAGCTGTGGTGATTAAAAGAATGCACGTCGTACGAGGCGGGAATACTTTTTAGGTTTGATGAGACTTCAGATGACCTTGTATTCAGAGAGAATCTCTCAGGTTTTGGGGGGTTTGGTTTGTTTTTTTTGGGGTTTGGTTTGTTTGTTTTGTTTGGCTTTTTTTTCCTTTGATTAATCAAGCAACTCATAATATGGCTTTCTTGTTTTCTGGTTTTTTTGTTTGCTTCTTTTTGGTTTTTTTTGTACGATAGCTCAACAGAACCCGACAACCCAGCTGCCAGCCAGACAACAAGAGATTGAAATAAACAGGCAACAGCGTTACTTCCGCATACCCTTCATCCGTCCCGCGGACCAATACAAAGATCCACAGAACAAGAAGAAGGGTTGGTGGTATGCGCATTTTGACGGGCCATGGATCGCTCGACAAATGGAACTTCATCCTGACAAGGCACCCATTCTCCTTGTAGCAGGTTGGTATTGAAAGCACGATTCAAATGTTGAAAAGGTTCAGAGTTGATAACTTGCTTTAGAAAAAGCGGCTGATGATACAAGTTTCCCAAGTTGTCTCCTCTTTTTTTCATCAGCAGTTATTGTCTGGGCAGAATTTGAGAATTTGGGACTGCTGTTGACGGTGGCCAAATGTTACGGAATATCATTTGGAGATGTAACTTGTCATGTGTTTTACCTGTACATGTACTTTAATCTGGGAAATCATAGAGAGAGTGGGAATCCAGATGTAAATGGTTTTATTATTAAGTGTCCTCAGATTATTCACTGAACTGGGGACAGTGTGCAGATAAAACATCACAATTTATCTGGGAAAGTTCAACTCATCATTGTATTGTTTTTTAGTTAGCTTTGAAAAATAACAGCAGTTTGCATCAAAACAATTTGCGCTTATGATATATTGTCTTTCCATAGTATGGTGCTAAAAGCAAACTGATGCTTTCACCATATTTATGCTGCCTAGTATGGGAGAATAGCTTTTTAATCTTAAACATTTAAAATAAGAACTAAATGTTGCAATGGATAGGCAGAGATTTATCTGGTAATGAAAAGTATCCTTCTTTTCTGGAGGATAACGAAAGGGGGAGAAAACACTGGAGAAATGCTGTTTACAGTTCTGTGTTTTGAAGGTTTGTGTTTAACTTGGGGACTGAGGAAAAGGCCATAACCAATTTGTTTAGCTTCAGAGTGATGCTTTACCAGCAACAAAAGTTCCTTTGTTTTCTGCTAATTATTTTTAATAGAATTCCTTATACCAACTGCTGCCTGTTCAGTGTCAAAGCCCATAGCTAAAAGTAGCATTGCTGTCATGAATACGACATTCAATGGATCACCTATTAAAAATAAGATTAAAATATAGCGAGTGAGCTACACTCATCATTTCATTGGATTCCCTGTGTCAGTTCCATTTGGTAAACACTGTTTGTTTAGCACGGGAGGCTGGCAGAGTAAGAATACTGGCTACTTGATCAAAAGTCTTGAGTTCTTAGGCGCTTTGCTACATTTAAACAAATTAAATAATAACAGCAGTTCAGCGTAAAACTGTGTAAAACTGAAAGTATGTGGAAAACAAATGCGGTTGTCATCCCGTGGTGGATTTTAGGAGAATATATCAAGATCTGATCTTGATCTTCTCGGCTTCTTTCCTTTGTTCATTTTTGCTCACTTTTTAAGCACAATTTTGTCAGTGGCAGCATCTGATACTAATGTATTCTGATACTGCTTTTCTGCTCTGTGTGTTTAAAAAAAAAAAAAAAAAAAAAAAAAAAATG